GATGCTTGGTGACCAGCTCCAAGACCCTCTCCTCGCATTCCTGGTCGATCTTTGCAAGTGCGAGCTGCCTCTCCGCCTTGGCAAGATCCTTGGCCAGGAAGTGCTGCTTGGTCGTGACCAGAAGGACGTTTCGATCATCCAGCTCCCACTTCCCTGCAGCGCAAGCAAACGCATGCAAGTCATCCGGAGAAACCAGCACCTTGGAAGCGATCGCCGCCTTGGCAGCCTCGAGGCATGTCTCCCGATTGCTGTCCTCGATGCCAAGATCGACCGCCAGCGCCGGATCCACATACCGCACCTTGTACATGGCACCATCGAAGACGAATTCCATCGGGAGAGCCGAATCGCCAAATGCCACTGTGACGACCACCATCTCGGCGAGAGCCCGATCTATCAAAACCCTGGAAGTTTATAAAAGAAAGCTCCCGGCGATGGGGATCCCTGATATCAGGAAGATCGATCTGCCTGGGAAAGATAGAAATCTGTGAGAACGCAAGCTCAAACGAAAGACCACCATCACTCACATTAGCATCCACAGCTCCAAAGATCACAGACGATGGCCGCTGCTCGTAGAGGGTGGTAAAGAGCTCGCTCCACACGCGGCGTCCACAAACCGCCCCGGCCTCGTCCACGATCGGGAACTCCTTGACCGCGTCGTGAAGATCTTGCACGTCCTTGCCGCTCTGGCACAGGAACTCCAGCGATCGATCGTCCAGGCCAATGCGATCGCGCTGCTGGCGTCCCATTGCCTCGCGGAAGAAGTAGTCCCAGCTCATTCCTCGAGTGTAAGGCTTGCCGCTCTTCTCCACCGCCTTGTTCCTCGCCATCTCCAGAAGGATCCGCCTCCTCACTAGCCTTGCGCGCTTCACATAGGCCTCCATTCCGCCCAGCGCGAGCTCCTTGTCCGTGCGATCCACCTCGATCTGGGCCTTCTGCGCTTCCAGCCGGGCCACCAGCTCCTCGAGATCCTGGCGCTGCGCTAGCTCCCTCTTCCTTGCCATGGATCGCCTGGCCTTGGCGCTCGGGTGCTTCTTGGTGCTTGGCTGCTTCTTGGCATTGGCGATCTGGGCCTGGATCTTCGTCCTGGCGTCCTCCACGACACCGAAATCTACCCTGAGCGATTCCGCCCTTGCAGCAAGCGAGCTGCGCCGATCTTTCCCCAAGACCACCACCGTGAATCTCTCGGGCAGCGGCCGATCGTGATCTTGGAGATCGAGCATCCGGAATCTTGCCGACACGAGCTCCTGGCCCTGCATGTTGCTCGACAGCACTTGAAGGCCTCCATCCTCCACGCCCTGGTGAGAAGGCGCAATATTTCTACAGTCGAAGCTCGCATTGGAGAATCCCCATTCCTCCGCCATGGCCGCAGAGCTTGCTTCTTGATTCGTGAACTCAAATTCTCAGAGTTATTCCTAGAATATGCTAAGTAGATCGTAGCTGTCCAACAATTTGCCCTAAAATATGCTAAGTAGATCATAGCCGTCCATCTATCATGAACTTGTTCTGGGCTGTGCTCTCTCTTCTTCTTGCATGGTTTGCTTCTTTTGAGAAATTCTAGAATATGCTAAGTAGATCGTAACCGTCCAAAAATTGACCTAGATTATACTAAGTAGATCGTAGCCGTGCAATTTGAAAAAGAGACAAGAAAGAGAGAATGACAATCTCGGAGACGAAGAGAAAAGCGCACTACTCTGGAATGTCCTCTCGATCTCCAGCATCGTCGCTTGGACCCTGGGCTCCGCGCTCCTTCTTCTTCTTGATCCCGCTCACAACATCATCGATCCGGAGCAGCATTGTCGCAGCCTCAATCGCGCTCTTGATCACCTGTGCCTTGACACCAAACGCGTCCCACACCCCGGCCTCCTTCATGTCCACGATCTTCCCGCTCCGCCCCTCGATCCCAAAGCTACAAGCCTCGCGCTTCTCGCAAGCCTCGGCGTGCCTGGCTTGCAGCTCGGTCATGGTTCGTATCACCGCCACCCCGCAGTTCTGCGCCAGCGTTCTCGGGATCACCTCCAAGGCCTGCGCCGCCGCCCTGTAAGCCCATTGCTCGATCCCTTCCACGCTGCAAGCCTTCGACTTGAGCGCCGCGGACACGGCCATCTCGCACGCACCGCCGCCGGCAACCATCTTCCCGTGATCCCGGATGGTGTTCCTCACGACACACATTGCGTCGTGGAGATTTCTCTCCACCTCGTTGAGGATGTCCTGGCTAGCGCCGCGGAGGAGCACCGTGCACGCTCTCGGCTCCTGGCACTGGATCAAAAACGCGAAGAACTCATCGCCAATCTTGCGGACCTCGAACAGCCCGGCCCCGGTTCCCACGTCGCGCTCCTGGAGCTCCTCTGGCCGGTTGACAATCGTTGCCCCGCAAGCCCGAGCGATCCGGTTGGTGTCCGTCTTTCTCACTCGCCGGATCGCACTCACCCCGGCCTTGCTCAGGTGGTGGCACGCCAGATCGCTCAGGCCCTTCTCGGTGATGACGAGATCTGGCTTGAGCGTGAGGATGTGCTTGCAAGCTTCCTCCACAAACTCCTCTTCCAGCTTGAGCAGGATGCTCCAGTCCTCCTCCTCCATCACCTCGACGTTGGTCGCGTTCTCGCCTTTCTTGTACTCGAGCGGGCAGTCGAGGAGAACAACTCGCGGGTTTGTGATCTTCCTGCGCATTCTCCCTGGAGCTACCACGTCCTTGTTGATCATCACGCCTCGCAGCACCGCGGAGTCCTCCAGCCTCCCCCCCGCCACCTTCTCGATCTTCACGTACTTTTTCACGTCGATCTCCCTGCTTCCATTGCCGAGATCCACCGCCACCGTCTTCACGGCGTCGATGGCCATGTCCGCCACGAGATCGCCGAGCGCGCCAGTGAACTTGCCACCCAGGCAGCTCCTCACGATCACCTGGAGCGCGGCATGGTCCTCCACGTCCATCGAGAACGCGGCCGACTCGAGCGCCGCGAGAGAATCCTCCAGCGCCCTCGCGAATCCGCGGCACACTATGCTTGGATGGAATGCGTGGAGCGCGACGAGGGGCTCGGCAGCGCGGAGCATCTCCGCCGCGAGGACGATGACCGACGTGGTGCCATCGCCAGCCTCCTCCTCCTGCGCGCGGCTGAGCTCCACCATGGCCTTGGCGGCGGGGTGCTGGACGTCCAGGTCCCGGAGGATCGCATTGCCATCGTTGGTGACCACGATACCTGATCCCGCGGCGTCCAACAGCATCTTGTGCATGGATCGCGGCCCCAGCGTCGTGCGGATGATCTCCGCGCCTGCTGTGGCGGCCGCGATCATCCCCTGGAGGACGCTCCGCCCGCTCTCGCGCTTGATCGCATCGTTGAGCACCACCACGGTCATTGTCGCCACAAAAACCCTAACTAAACCCTAGAAAGCTTTGGGGAGAAAATTTATCACATTATCTTAGACAAAGTATACAAGCCGTGGTAATTGGTGCCACTATTCTTCCACCACACGCTCTCGACGTTGTCAAGCCACGTCTGGCAGAGATGGTCTTGATAATCGAATGAGATTTTCTTGATCCATTCCTCCATGTCGCCAATTTCGTCACCAATGTTGTGATCATTTCTTCTTGATGTTGCGATCATCCTCCTCGTTTCATCTTTAAAGAATTGCATGCTCCAGAAGCCCTCTTCACTGAGAATCTCGTCCTCTTCACAGCTTTCCTGGCTGCCAATCCAGATCTCGTCACCCTCTATCAAACACGTTTGATGAAGCTCTTTGTCGATCGAGTCGCTTGACGTGGTCTCGCAGGATTCAGAGTTGGGCGAGATGGCCGCCAGGCGCTTTGTGAGACCCAGATCCTCATCGTCGCAAGACGATCTTCGTCTCTTCTTTGTTGGCGACGTTTCGATGCTACGCGATCGATCAATCTCATCCTGGGCAAGCCTGGTTTGGATCTTGTTCATCTCCGTGATCAACATAGTGCTCGCCTTGTGGTCAGTCACTGGATTTTCACTTCTGCAAATCCACGATCTAGAAAAGGAGAAAAAATGAGATAACCTAAGATCCAAGTTTTCCTTTTAAGAGAAAGCACGACATTTGCGTGACGTTAAAGAAAGGAAACCACGTTGCCCTAAAACTAAAAGAATTATCCCACGTGGTCGACAAGCATTCGTCCACGTCATACACATCCACTTTGCCCCAAAGCGATCCATCCACTTTGCCCTAAATGATGGAAGCTTCGTGATCATGCCCACTCCATGTCACAGCTGCGCGAGTTCATCACAATCCTCCAATCGTGCTCGAGAAGGCGAGATCTCCCACAGGGCCAGCGCGTCCACGCGCAAATCCTCGCCAGCGATCGCCACCGCGGCGACCCTCTCCTCGCCAATCTCCTCATCCAGATGTATGGCAAATGCCGCGCCCTGGACGAGGCGCGCGCCCTCTTCGATTCCATTGCTCGCCCCAACATCTTCTCCTGGAACACCATGATCTCCGTCTACGCCCACAACGGATCCCTGGCCGCCGCCAAGGAGATCTTCGATCGAATGGGCAAGCGCGACATAATCTCCTGGAACGCGATGCTCGCAGCGTACGCCCAGCTGGGCGATCTGCGCGACGCCCAAGACTGCTTCGATCGCATGCCGCGCTGGAACATCGTGTCCTGGACATCCATCCTCCAGGCATACGCGGCACAGGGATCCATCGACGACGCCAAGAACACCTTCGATTCCATGCCCGAGAGAAACATCCTCTCCTGCTCAGTCATGATCACTGCGCTCGCCACCGCCGATCTCCTCCACCTCGCCAAGACCCTCTTCGATCGCGTCCCGGAGTGGAACACCGTCTCCTCCACCTCCATGATCCAGGCATTCGCCGCCAGAGGCCTCTTCCACGAGGCTCGCCACATCTTCGACCGCCTGCCACAGCAAGATCTCGTCGCCTGGAACACAATCATCTCCGCCCATGCCCAGCGCGGGGATCTCCCAGGCGCGCAAGAGTTCTTCGATCGCGCGCCCCAGCGCGACCTCTTCTCCTGGACATCGATGATCGGCGCTTATGCCCAGGCAGGCGCTCTTCCCGCCGCCACTCGCCTCTTCGAGGACATGCCCGAGACAGATCTAGTGGCCTGGACTGCGATGCTCCAAGCGATAGTTGCCAGCGGAGATCTCTCCCTCGCCAAGACCACCTTTTCACGAATGCCGCTGCGCAACGTCGTCGCCTGGAACTCGATCGTAGTAGCATTTGCCGCGGCCGGGGATCTTGCCTCGGCAGAGGCGACCTTCCAATCCATGCCCGAGCGAGACATCGTTTCCTGGAACTCGATCCTCAGCGCCTACTCCCAGACCGGGCAAATCGATGCCGCGAAGCAAGTCTTCCACGCAATGCCCGTCCACAACCTCGTCTCCTGGAATGCCGTGCTCGTAGCAGACGCCCAGAACGGGCATCTTGACAGCGCTCTAGAGACCTTCCAAGCCATGCCTGGGAGAGATCTCATCTCCTGGACGGCGATGGTGGCGGCCTTTGCGAAAGGTGGCCGTCTCGACAAAGCCATGGCCACCGCGGATCAAATGCCTGGGCGGGACACCGTCTCCTGGAACGCTCTCATCACCATGCTCAGCCACTATGGATTCGGCAGCCACGCCGTGGAGAGCTTCCGATCGATGTGCCTCGAGGGAGGATTCCCAAACCAGGTCTCCTACTTGGCGCTTCTCATAGCTTGCAACCACAAGGGCCTGTCCTTCCAAGGATTGTCCAGCTTCAGCCTCGACTTTGGCGTGGCTCTCTCCGTGGAGCACTACTGCACCATGATCGACGTGCTTGGGCGATCTGGAGAGCTCACTGGAGCGACGGATCTTGTAAACAGCATGCCTTACTTGCCTGGAGCAGTCGCCTGGGGATCTCTCCTCGGTGCTTGCACAGTCCACAGTAGCGTCAAGCAAGGTGCCGTGGCCGCTGAGAACCTGGCCAAGATGGAGAATGGTCCGGCACAAGTTCTCTACTCCAATATCATCGCCACTGCTGCTGGTGCCTGAGTAAATTAAGAAGAGAGATCTCGTAAGCTTCCAAAGACGGAAAGAGAAAAGCAACTCAAGCTTCGTCAACGACGCTGACACGGAAGAGTAAAGTGAGGCATCCGCCGACAAGAGCCACGAAGCAAAAGAAAAGACGAGATAGAGATGATCACTCACACTCTAGCTTCCATGAAGCTTGTTGTACAGTACCGCCATCTTTCGTTCTCGACACAAGCCGCCTGGGGAACAACGAACGATTCAGCGTGCCGGACAGAGCTTTCGGTTGGCTTTCGGCGGTAACGACGAGCTGTGCACTGTGTGCGCTGGTCCTTCCTGAGTTCCTGACTGCAGCATAAAGATTAAAGTACTATGAGGCTACTGTGAGAGAAAGCAACTTAAAATTTGACAAAGACCTGTGTAGTTTCGCGCGAAAGGGAAACCGCTGAACTGGTAGAACACAATAGGTAGCTCACAAGCAAAAAACAGTAGGTAAACATTCCGCAAAGAGAAACTTGACTCGATCAAAGGTGTCAGACACCGATTTGAGATAAAAACAGTCACTCGGGCGCCAAGAACACGAAATGGAAGTATAAGTGATTATGTGAACTTGTAAAAGGAAAAAAGAGCGAGAGCCAGACCTGGCTTGTTCTTCAAAAAAATAGAGTTGATGTTGGGACCTGTGTGTGATAATAGTAATCTCTAGAGCTTGTGATTCGAGCAGCCAGCAACAGAAAGAAACATCCGACGCTTATTCCCGTTGCAATCTACAAAGCCGGACTGATAAGAACAAGAACAAAGAGCAGAGCAAGAGAACTTTCCCACACTCGTACCTGGTGATCTAGCTTCGACGTCGGAGGCGCGGATACCACATCCGGAGAAGTTTCTCGCAAACAAAGCCCAGAGCTTCCGACGCTTTGGTTCCAAAAGATTGGGGCTTCCTCGTCTCGATGACCCCGGCCTCTTCAATGTCCTCCTCGTCCTCCTTGAATTCCAGGGGCGCCACTTGCTTCGACTTGGGCGGCTTGCTCACGGCCTCCTCCTTCTTCTCCGCCTGCTTTCGCGACGGCTTCTTATCCTTGTCTTGCTCAATCTTCTTCTCCTCCGGAGACGCCTTCTCGACATCGGTGATGGCGTCGCTAGCATTCGCTTCCTTCTTGGCATCGTCCTTGGCAGCCGCTCGCTTCTGCTGCTTGTCTTTCTTTGCCCCCATGGCAGGCCACACGCACTTCCGGCTGCCCTGAGCTTGTGCTTGTGCTTGGAGGGAATCGTTGAGCTCCAGGGCATCGTCAATCACCCGCTGGTTGGGAGAGGCGCTCCAGCGCGACCAGTACTTGGCGTAGCGCTCGAAATATCCGCAAGAAGAGGATCGCTTGCCTGGAGAAGGGGAAGAACTCGACGCATTGTGATCGACAGCGCGATGAAGATGCCGCTTCTTGCCCTGCTGCTGGTGATGCTTCTTGGCCGGCTTCCCGCTGCTGCTCGACGCGAAATCACATTCGTCGTGCGTCGCCAGGTAGCGCAGGAGATCGCCGTCCTCGCGCGGGAGAGAATCCGCCATCGCTTTCACTGGCGAGGGAAGGCGCGCGCCCGAGCTAGAGGCCGCCATAGCCAACCCTAAGGTAAAGGCGGAAAGAGAGAGAGAGAGAGAGAGAGAGCTTCTGCTAGATTCTCTCTATTCCGCCACGCGGAGCGCTTAGCAGTAATTAAACTCTTCATTTGATTATATGCTCCTAAAACTCAAGCACCGGCGCAGCAAAGACGAAGGGGGGATCGCTAGAACCCTAGAATTCCTGGGACATGCTCCCGATTTCTCCCTTGGACTTGGCGCTCTTCTTGGGGAGAAGCGATTGATTGATGTTGGGGATGACTCCGCCGCTGGCAATGACGACGCTGCCCAAGAGCTTGCTCAGCTCCTCGTCGTTCCTCACAGCGAGCTGTATGTGTCTGGGGATGATCCTGTTCTTCTTATTGTCGCGGGCAGCATTCCCGGCCAGCTCCAGGACCTGGGTAGATGATCATCACACAAAATCGTTACTCTTCAATCTGCCAAAAGAAAAGCCCAAGAACCCTAAACCCAAGAGCGCGAAGATCACACATACCTCCGCGGCTAGATACTCGAGCACGGCGGCCATGTAGACCGGAGCTCCGGCACCAACACGCTCGGCATACTTGCCCGCCTTGAGGAATCGAGCGATCCTTCCCACCGGGAACTGGAGCCCGGCCTTGTGCGATCTTGACACAGCCTTGGTGGATTTGGCCTTGCCGCGCCCGCCGCTACCGCCCTGACCTTGGCTGCTCATCGCTTTCCCTCTTGCAAACCCTCGCGCTTTCCTCTTGCAAACCCTCGCCCCAAAAAACAGCCGCCCAAAAACTTTATAAACAGTCTCCGCGCTCTGTTTTACAAACCCTAGGGCAAAGTTAGGGTTTCACAAACCCTAGTTAGTTCACACTTGCACGATAAGCTTGTTTAACATCTAACTTATATTGCTTTACTTAAAACTCCGATTAACAAATCTTTAATGTGACAAAAAGCGTAAGATTATATTTTTTTTTATATTAGTCACTTCTTATGCTACAACTTCTGGAAGAATAGCTGTCCCCGGCGATCGATTCGAGAGTCGTCCATGGCAAGTAAGGAGCTGCAAAACAAGATCCATCGGGGTTTAGATTGGAATTCTATTCTCTCGAGCGAGCTAAGCTCTTACCTTCGCATTGACACCATCGTTCACGATCCTGTTCTCCGCCTTGTACTTGAGGTAGTCATTGCGCGAGAACTTTGTGAAGCCCCTGGAAGAAATTCTCGCGTAAGAACAGCGAACGAGGAGATCTATACTTCACAACTTACCACTTCCTGCTGACGATGATCTTCTGCCTTCCAGGGAACTTAAACTTGGCCCTCCTCAGCGCCTCCTGGGCGTGAATTCCATTGTTCTCCTTACATCGCACGGAGAGAAGCACTTGGCCGATGTCCACTCGCGCACAGGTACCTTGCGGCTTTCCAAAAGCACCCCTCATTCCAGTTTGCAGCCTATGAAACCAAAATAATCGTCAAAGCTTTTTCAAGAGAAGTTCTCCACTCACCTATCGGCACCGGCGCAGGAAAGCATCTTGTTGATCCGGAGGACATGGAAGGGATGAACCCTCACGCGGAGATGGAACGCGTCCTTGCCGGCGTACTTTGCCATGTACTTGTTACAGGCTATGCGCGCCGCTTCGAGGGCCTCGCTCGAGACATTCTCCTTCTCCCAGCTCACGAGATGGACGCAGTAAGGGAACTCGTCCACGCCCTTCTTCTTCATCCCCACATCGTAGATTCTGATCTTGGGATCTGGAACACCGCGGCAGAAGCGCGATTTCGGGTATGGCTTGTTCTTGATCTGGCGGTAGCACCTCGCAGGTCCTGCAGCGCATCGAGATCTAAGAATCCCAGCGATCTAAGAAGGAAAAAAGAGCACTTACTTCGTCCCATGGCGGCTGCGTCGAATGAGAACCCTAACCCCTATACGATGTTATATATGGCTTAGCAGCCGTTGGATTGACGGTGTTGCCTATCGGACGGCAGCGATTCTCGGTAATTCGCGGAAGGATCCGGACCGCCCAGTTCGAAGTTTCGGATTTCTAGGGTTCTTACGGTTGAAGGCGCTTCGCCGCTATGCCCGTCGCGGGTATAGGCCGCGTGCGCTTGATCTGTTTGTAGCGGGCTTGGAAAATGCTGGATCGCGAGGATTATGGCTGTGTCTTTGCTCGATCTCCTCCGCTTCGAGTGCTCGAGCTCTCTTCCCTTCGCGTTTCTTCCAAGAGTAAGGCATTTCTTCCTGGATTACATCCATTTTGTTCTCGCGGTGCAGTAAAGATCTACCTGGATGAGCCGCTCTTGCAAAAGATTGATATGAAGAAGCTTGCGGCGTCTTGTGCTTTCGCGGATGTTCTTCTACAAATGGATCAAGTAAGATCAGTAGTCTTTTCTCGCTAAACTTCCTGTATTTCTTGAAGAAAAACAACGCAGCGTATGATTTCGAGCGCAAAGTTCTTCCAGAGATTCTGGAACTTAGTCAAGAAATAGACTCATCAAGGCCTTACATGGTAAGTTTTTGTCACCGCTCCGCTAGTTTCCTGAGTTTCACGGGTGTTATTTTCAGTAGTCCATTTTGCGTGAATCAGGCATTCTCGGTTGCTTCCCAAATCTGAGAAAGTATCTGGATACGATCAAAACCTGCGGGGTGAGAAAGAACTTCAAGGTTAACAACGAGTCATCAGGTAAATGCTGGATCGAATCTGATGGAATTCTAATATGGTTACGCCAGGTAGCAAGAACTATCTATCTTACGTAGCGCTCTTGAACGAGCTGCTAACTATGAGCAGCCAGCTCCACGAGGACATCGATCATCCTCAAAATCACAAGTACATGGCACACCAAGTCGCTCTTTTATACGTAAGTGCGCGAAACGCAAGGAAGAAAAACTAAGATCTTTGATCCATTTTCATATTTCTTGCAGCAATGCATCAGCCACGTCAAAGGCGAGGTCCGGCCTCTCAAGAAACCCATCGAGGAGCGCTTCAATGGCCTCAAGAACTTGGTGGAGAGCAATTCCAACGGAGGATCTCACCTCACCGATTTCTACAAAACATGGTGAGTGGAACTTTTTCTCTTTCGATGATCAAAACTGTGAATTATTTTCCCTTTGCGTCCACAGGCTAAGAGATTTAACGAGTGACATAAGAGCAATCGTCTCGAGCTTCCCCCCAGATGTTGTCTCCAACGTGGACCCATTGGGAAAGTCCCTGAAATGGACGAGCACCATGTCATAGCATGGAAAATGGGCCCCCGGTCGTGGGCTCGAGTCTCGCCAGGGCCACTCTTTTCGCCCGTGTTCACGTGAAGTTTTTGGGCGCCTCTTGAGCGAAGCACCGGGGCGGCGATGTGGAGCGCCAGAAATCCGGCACGGCTGGATGGATCCGCTCGCCAGATGATCGCGGCGCTGCTGCTGGCCAGGTATTGAGAAGAGAAGCGGGAGGAATCGATCGGGGATGGAAGCTGTGAGTTTCAGGCCCCTGTTCGTGTCGAGCGTGCTGGTGAATCCGTGGGAGATCGCAGCGGCGCAGCGGCCGTGCCGGGCGGATTCGTGCGAGAGATTTTCGTGCTGGGGGCAGCGATCTTGTTCTTGGAAGGCTTTAGGCGGCGGCAGGAATCAGGGCTTGAGAAGAATGGGAAGGACGCGAAGAACACGACGGGCCTGCCAGACGCGGTGTGAGAATCGCGACGACGTCCGTGTGAGCGAGTGCAGTACGTCGTATATCCCTGCGAATTCGTCCTCTCTGGGGGAATCTCTGAGTGGAGAGACCATCACAGGCACAGGCGCTGCCACTCCTTGCTCCATCGCCGGGGCATTTTCTTCCATGGTGGTGATGCTGACGAGCGTACAAAGGCACGCGTTGCTGGCTCGATCGTCGTCCCACGGGGCCGAGTTCCCGGCGCTCCTGGCCTCCGTCCAGACCGACATGCACTGTTCATTCCTCTGGCTCTTCCAGCACGTCTTCGCCAAGACTCCCAGGTTGATGCTCTCGCTGATGATCATCCTCGCGAATTTCGTGGCTCTCTCGGCGGCGGGGACTTTCAGCATGGAGCAGCAGCAAGTGGAAGTTTGCTCCAACGGCTTATCATCCTCCAAGAGCAAGAAGACCACGATGGATACGTCGAGCTCTCAGGATGTTTTTATATCCGGGGCTTTCGCGCACGAAGTTTCTCCATCGTCCGGCGACGAGGAGCTCTTCATGGTCTCCATGCTCGAGCAAGCCGCGGAGGAGCACAAAGTTGGCAACCATGGCAAGTCTCCACACGCCGTGGAGATTGCTCCCGCGGCAGCGCTGGTAGCTCCAATCTCCGTGCACCTGGAAGCTGATAACTACGAGTGCTTCGACCGGACGGAGCTACTCTACCAGGAGGCGCTCGCCACCGATCAGAACAACCCGCTGATCCTCGCGAACTATGCCGAGTTCCTCTTCCTGGTTCGTCGTGACTATGAAAGGTAAAAATAATCTATTTTTCTTCGTTTTCCTTCGGTGATCTCAAGCTTTCTTTGCAGGGCTCATAGCGTTTTCCACTTGGCACTTCGAGCCGATCCCGAGGACGCCGAGATCATCTGCCGCTACGGCAAATTCTTGTGGCTGGTTCATCGGGACCGGCGAGCAGCCGAGGAGGCGTACAGGGCAGCGATGGCGGCGGAGCCATCGAATCCATTCTACGCCGGCTGCTACGCTCACTTCCTGTGGCACTCGGGGGAGGACCCGGCAGCGTCGCGCTTAATCGAGCGGGTCTCGCAGCGTAAGATCGATCAATAATCTTGAGGTGAGCAGCCAAAGTCTCCATCGCGAAGAGAATCTCACAATGTGGACCCTTGATACCTTTGCAGCGTTTGTTTTGATTCGTGCGAGCAGTGGACCTCATAGAAGGAGAAACCCAGGCAAATTGGGCTTCTCGATGTGACAATCCAGCGCGCTGGGTCGCACAAAAGGGATCACACTCCAGACAAGTCGGAAGAAAAGAAAGAGATACTTGACGTACATAACACCAGAGTTTTAATGGAGCCTTGTTTGATCTTTCCACTGGTGAGGGGACATTGCCAATCACGAGCTTGTATAATCTGCTATATATTCCCATTTCGAAGTTACGGGGCATTCGAATCTGGGCCGTTGGATGAGAGCCATCCCCGTACAAAGAGGAATGGAGGTTCTTTTAACTCCGCTGTGATTCCATCCGGCCCATGCAGTATGGAAACAAAAAAACCTTGGACAGTATATTTCCTTTCCATGGGATCACTATCATCTATGTATTTCATCTACAAATTCATACTCGAATTAGAACCCTCATGGGGAATTCAACTTCTAGTATTCTCTCTCACTGGACAATGATATCCTCAAAGTTACTCTTGTTAGATTTTGTTTATGCAAGAAGAACAAAAACTGTATATACCTGGAGTCGATTTTTACAGGATACTGCTAGTTTCGTAAAAATTGGTCTAAATATATAAAAGTTTCACTTAATTTGTTCGTCATTTCTTTGTTTTCTTACTAGTATATACTCAGCTAAATAAATCCTGGAAATGCAAAGATGGATGCCAGTGGTCCAGGCAAGCCAGCGACAAAAGGTAGACCCAGATGGGAGGAAGAGTAAACTTGGAGAGATCGACGGCATTCCTCTCCGAGCTCTACTGGCCTTCACATCAGTCAACTTCACGCTGGCTCCAAAGCTTCGTCATGCAGTGGCTCTTGAGCACTTCATGGACTTTGTCCTCCCTGGCAGCCTCCAGCATTGTAGCACTCGGCGCTTAGAGTGGAATCTCCCTACAGACAGCAGCAGCTTGTCAATCTTGATACCGTGCTGTTGATGGATGGAGTGAGCGTAGATTGAAAAGAAGGAGATTCAGCACATGCAAGAGAACATTTATGGAGATAAGTTTTTCCTCTTTTGATCTCTGTTGTTATTTAGCTCATGGAAATGACAGAAGAAATGCAGCACCCAAGCCCTAAATGTTTAACAACTAAATATAAATTAGTAACGTTAAATTGTAATTAGTAGATGTTAATGATTATAATTTTGTAATTAACCTATGCTTGGTTTAAGATTTTTCTCATTGTGTTTGTGTTCCTTTTTATATTTTCTTATTTTCATCATTCTCTTTAGTATTATAGCTAAATTGAAATATATGAATCATCTATAATAATAAAGAGGAGTGCTGAACTTTTTAGGCTACCGGATCCAACCAAAGGGGGGTGGGTAACTATAAAAGGGTTATTTCCTTGACTATGTCTTAACAAATAATCACACTAATGTTTGCTCCTAGCCAATGGGAGGTGGCCAAGTTGCATGGGGTGAGAGAAGAAGGCATTTCAACATGTGTTGCATGCAAAGTGTTGACCATAACTATGGTTGTCATTTGTCAAGTGAATTTTCATGTGCTCAATGACGTGGCAAAAATTAAGTAGGGCTTTGGGCCAATAGCTGTGATAAACCCAAAGTTAATCAATTGTTTCATTTAGGATTTTTTTCTCTGATGGTAGTAGTAGCTAGCAATTCTAATTTGAGGTCTCAAGACCATGTAAATTACAATTAGTAGTCATTGCCAGACAATGTCTCTTCCTAGTAGCAACAAGTTCTAAGTGATCTAAACATGGGTGAAGAAAGTAATGAACTAGGTTTGTGTTTATCTTGATAAAGCAATATTTAATCACTTTCCTTTCCAAGATCTGATATTCTAATATAGTATTTAGTCTATTCTAATACAATGCTTTATCGCTTGAGGAATTGTAAGAAGACTTCAAACAGCCATTAAATTTTCAAAGTCCCTTTGTTATTTTAGTAGGTACTGGCATCTGGCTTTTTTTGCTTCTTAAACCTTCTCTATGGCCAGATCCAAGTATTTAGATACAAACTTCCAGCCAAGTGTCCCATGGGATTGTAGGAGGTACTCAATTTTAGAATGTTTTTTGGATTTTTTAGCTAAGCATAAATTATATAGCATTCTAGAATTTGGCATATGGAATCTGATTGCTTCCTTTGAGGAAATACAATATGCATGTGTTCATATTGTAGATCTATAGCTTCATTAAGGTGGCAAGTTGCTTTTTATGTATGTATTATCTTAATATGGCAATTATGATTTCCAACACGAAGTCCACTCAACAAGTATGGTATCGACATCAAGGTTCCTTAATATTAATTTCATTGACAGCTATGGCATGCACCTTGTGACAGCTTCAATAGTAGCCAATGCTACTGATAAATACAGCCACCTTTTCAAACCATCTAATTGGTTGTGTATTCAACACTACAAGGTTAGAGTTAAGAATCCAAAATATCATTTGTCTTTCGATAGATATTTTTACGGCTACACATGTTCGGACATAGCTAGAGAAGTCTCCTCCAATGCTTAACTTTGTCAGGCCATCAAACATTGTTCCATTGAGTCAGCTTGCAGGAGGATGCTTCTACTTATACTTCTACAACAATTGTTGTGGCAATCATTGGTGTGGACCAAATGCCTAACACTACAAACATCATGTTTATTGTTGATGATCATGAAATTGAGAACACCTATAAGGTATTTGTAATAATTTAACTAAATTTTTTTCCTAAACTTCAAAAGCAGGTGCATGTGCTGGGTGATATGGACCTCTATCATGAGCTCAAATTGTCATGGTTTGTTGGGGGCATGCCAAGTCATATTTTCTACAATCTCTAAGGAACTAAGGATAAAAATGTGTTCAGGATTACACCCTCCACTATTGTCTTGAAAATTCTTAATGATACACCTTAGGACCATATATAGAAACAATTGCACTCTGTCTCATTCATATATAGAAAGAACTTCTTTAGGGTATGTCTTTCATGATGTTTTTTAGCGGTTCATAATGCATGTTTTGTCAATAGGTGTATGGCCACTTGATCCCTGAAAACCCTCGAACAATCTCTATTTGTTGTGGCTACCATATTTGCAAAAAGTTTAGGGTCGAGAAACAAATGCAAAATATTGGTTGGTGTCACCATTGCAAAAATGATGTAGCGCATGTGGTTTTTACCTTTTATCCTATGGTGATTTACCACAGGATAACACCATGAAGCAGAACCTAAACCCTCTTTGTGCTATGTGACAGATGCCACGTGTCATATGTCATGTATCCAAAGGATAGTGGTGTGTAACCCAAGTTTCAAGGCCTTGGACCACTGAACGTAGGAATGGTGCCAAACTTCCAAGCATGGAGCTAAGGAGTAATGGCACTAGGGCATGGAACAACTCTTGAGCATATAGCCCAAGGAGCAAAAAGACAGGAGCACGGAGCAACTTAAATCAGTCTTATAGCAATTAATATCCCAATGCCAGGACTAATATGCAAAACAGAGCTAAACAAAGTATTTTGGCATACTAGTGGCCTAATGCAAGGATATAGGTACCCCACCAACTAGCATGGTGTGGAGTTTAGGCTTAGACCCAAGTCAAAAAACAAGCACGCAAATGGGAGCTAAATTATGCCTCAGGTTGGTCTATTATACCCAACCTACCCACTATCCCTCCTATACATTTGGAACCCCTCTTGCCCTTTTGAGGAACACACACTTTGTGCTTTCACCCCAAGCTTCCCTTAGTATTAGGAGTTAGTCTTTGGGACAAGCTCAAAACTTACTAAATATGCAATATCCCTAGATTGTGAAATATCCTTAGATTGTGAATTTGGACACGAGATGAACACCATTGTGTTTAATTGTGTTTAGGACAATCTCTACATTCCGTAAATATGCCAAATGAGCAAATCTAGACACTTTCCATAAATATCATTTAAGACCGAAATGAAACTAACACAAAAGGCATGATAGCAAGGGTGTTTGGTAGATACAGTAAGCTATTATCTAGTGATATTAAGGGATTAGTCTCAATACGTGAGAGTTCTTGTCAAGCTAGTGTAAGACAGAGCAAACGAAAACTAAAAAGCTGGGCCAAGTATGCTTGGTTAAATAGACACTTAGAAATTCTGTCCTTATGCTCATCTGGCCAAGTACAGATGCAAAGTCCAATTTACTAACACTTGAACAAGAGGGATTGATAAAGGGTTTAGCAATACCGACTTCCTGCCATCGTGGCAATAAAGAAAGAGTGTTTGTAAGGACTTGTTGACAAGTAACTTTTGATACCTGAAGTCACATTCGCAACAAATGAATAAATTTTTTTCCAAAATTTGCAAATCCATGGCAAATTCTATCCACATAATGGCCACCCCCAAAACATTTGCATAGAGGACATTTATATGACCAAGCATATGGTCCCTCTGGTGTAGTATCTGGCAGCCTAGAAAGTTTGGCACTCCATCCTTAACCATCTATAATAATAAGGAGGGAGTGCCGAACTTTCTAGGCTGCCAGATCCAACTATGGCAGCAGTTTAATGAGGGGTAACTATAAAAGGGTTATTTCTTTAACCATGTCTTAGCGAATAATTGTGTTGATGTTTACTTCTAGCCAATAGGAGGCAGCTAATTGCGTGGGGCAAGAGAAGAAGGTGTTGCAACACATGTCATATGCAAAATGTTAACCAGCATTGATATTCCACCTTTTGCAATAAAGACTCACTAAAATCAAAAAGGCAAGTTCTAAAGTTAAGTGGAGAGTGTCTGCTATGACAGTGGGCCTAACTATTAGCACCTTCAGGTTGTGATTCATCCCTTGATTTAAACTTTTGCAAGCTATGGTGCATGCTTTTGCCAATCCTTGGCAATGGTGCCTCACATTTGTCCTAAATGCACAAATTCTTGCATGGTGCTCGTCTTTTCTTGTTGTGGTTGTTAGTTCATTGCCTATTCTTGGAATTGAGACAAGTTGCAATGACACTAAAGCCATTGTTGTAAGTGGATTTTCTTGTGATGAGATTGCATTTTCTCAAACTTCATATCAAGTCACTAGTGATAGAAAGATTTTGGGAGAGTCATTGAGATTGTAGGTATTTTTTTTTTCCCTCTTCTTCATTTTTATTCTGTTTTTTTTTTGTTTCTTTAGATTCAAGGCAGAGTTGCTTCAACAGTATGGTGGTGTGATGCCTCTAGCAACATGTCTAAACCACAAGCTAACAATCGACAAAGTAAACTATTCTCTTTTCAATAGAAGTTTTGAGAGTTCTTTTATGTTTTTTAGGTGGTGGCACAAGCTCTAGAGAATGCAAAAGTGAAAGAGTGAGATCTTGCAGCAGTAATTGTGGCAATTGGTCCTTGGCTTGAGTTTAGCTTGGATGGTAATATTCTTTGTGATCTTTCCATTGGGAAGATTATTTTAGGCATCACATTGAAGAATTGTTTAGCATGTAGTTGTTGGCATCAAAGGAGCAACTTACATGCTTCTCATTGTGGCAGATCCACATGGTCATTAGGATGGTAAGTTTTTTACTTTCTTTACCAAGTGAATTCAGGGTGTAGAGATTGAGTGTTGAGTGCTGGCCAGACTCTAATAGTAGGTTTTATCTTGCTATGGTGATGGAATTTTAATTTATTCAAATGGCAATGCATAGTGTTCTTGCTAATCTAACCAATGACAAATTGTACCCATGAGGTGATAAATTATGTACATCTTTGGTGGCATCACTAGATCAAAATCCAAATTGAGAGATTTGAATTCTATTTAATTGGGAAGTGGTGTTCATAGGAGGACTTGAAACAATCATCTTGGCCCAGAGATGACTCCGGTATGCTTTTGTTTCCATTTCTCACTTGCTCAGTCCTTGATCTTTGGTCCTTTGAATTGATCATGTTTAATAATCCCAATGGCTTTGCTAACCCTTACATGTATTACAACTACTACAACTACAACAATAAATAGATAAAAGGAGATCTGGCCGTTGAATGAGATCGGCGGGGCATATTTGAAACTGGGCCGTTGGATGAGATCCCGCGAGGGTTAGGTCTCCCGGGAGCTCGGGGAGCTCGCGAGAGGGCGCCATGGAACCGCCGAGCTGGAGATGGATCCATGGACGATGCCGCCGCGACGCTCGGCACCAGGAGAGCAGTCGTATTCGACATCGAGCAGCAGCCGCCGGCGCCGGCGCCGCGGCAAGATTTGCCCTCGTCCTCCTCGTTCCAGGTTCACCGATCCATTCTCAAGCGCCCCTCCAGGAGCATCCAAGAGGAAGGGCAAGAAGCAGGAGAAGCTCGCAATGGCGGCGAAAGCCCGTGGTCCGAGGAAGATTACGATCCTTACTATGGGCTGGGGATCAGGACCCGCCCCGATCTTCCAGTGCTACTCGTCTTCAACCTTATGGAGTCCCGCCGATTCAATACCTTCTCGTCCCCGACGCGCACGAGGCTGTTCTACACGGCGACGATCCTCGGGGGATCCATCATCGCCTCCTGCCTCGTCTTCTGCATCGCCCTCCTGGTATTCCAGCTCCGGGAGCGCCCGGAGCTCCCGATCGTGAGATTTAAATCGGTGCTCGTGAGCTATGGGAGGCTCTACCGCATCAAGCCAGAGGTGATCCGGCAGCAACAGGTGGAAGGCAAGGGGAACTATTTCGCTTACAAGTTGAACTTTCTGTGCGAGGTCCATATGAACATCACCAATTCAAACCGGCACCTCGACATGTTCCACCACTGGATCGAGACCACCGTGTACTACCATGGCACGCCCATCGCCGTGGATCGCATCGACAACATCCCGCATCCACGCCGTGGGATCATCCGGCCCGTGTTTACGGCGTTTGCGATCTCCCTGCCGCTCACTGTCGCCGTTGGAAACAAGCTCGACGAAGAGCTCCATGACCCGCGGCTCTCGTACAGTGGTCCTACTGGGGTATGCAGTGTCTTCTTCTCTTTTCTCTTTGTTTGATCCTGTAGTATCTCCATTGCAGTTGGCATTCGAGATCATCTTCCAGTCGGAGATCTCGCTGCTCGAGGCCCTGCGTCCGCTGCCATTTTCGTGGCGATGCCGGTGTTCAATCTTGACCGATCTTTTGCTGGACGGATTTAAGTGCCGCTGCTTGGACGCGAAATGGCGTCCACGAGAACACCTCAAACACTATCGTGTGCCATCTTGGCCCAGGGATGAGACGGGTACCCTTTTTTTGCTCAAATCCATGATCTTTGCTTTTCTTACTTCTCTACTGGCAGAAATTATCGAGAACAATTTTTCTTATCCTGACGATTACTACGATCCCAGTGTGAATTACTACGCCAATACCAATTCTTCCCATCCATACCTATACTATACATAAGTGGCAAGCTTTTCGCGAAGTTTCTTTTGATCAACAAGAAAAAAAGAAGATCAAAACAGCATCCTTGTTACTCGTTTCTATACTGATTTGTAATGAGTATTCCTACATTATCCAATTATTTTCTATTATGTGTTAGTTTTCCAATTTTATGCCATACCACTCACTTGGGGGGTTTGATCTCCTCAATCAGTTCTTGACTGGATATGTGACTGAAAAAAGAAAAGCATCAATCCAAAGAAAGAGGAAAAAGATGCACTTTAATGGATCAGAGTGGACTTCCCATTCATGATGAGTAAATCTTTGAAACTCTTGCCTTACATAATATCAATATAGAAGTACCTTTATATAAATTGTTAATTTTGTTGTTTCGAACATACACTTTAGTGTCATTCCTACTTATCACCATCACTTTATAGTGCTTGTGTGTTGCCATTTCATCTTTCAACATTTTATAAATAATTTTATGTGCATCAAATATGCCATAAGTGTATTGAATGCCAAAGACTGGCAAATACATAGCATCATCAATGTTTGCCCGCATCTTAACTCTAGCATGACCAACATTCTAGAAAAAATAGTTGAGTAGAGGTATTCCATAACAAGGTTATCACACCTGGTAAATTGCTCCCTTTATCTTTCCTTTCTAGCATCTTGAGGACCTTACCGCGCTTATTGAGCTTGGGATCTACTGAAACGTTGTTAGGAACTTGATGATTGCTTGTGGAATGTCAGGCTCATTGCTGTGTGTGCGAAATCAAAGAACACACATAAACCCAGAAACCATGATCAAATCATAGTTTTTATAGCAAGTCCTCTCGAAGGCGCGTCACAGCATGCAGCAATTGGCATCTCTTTTTCTTTGAAACAGCTTAACAAGCACCAGGTGATACGATTTGGACGTCCTGAAAAGCACTATATGCGTGAAAAGCAGAGACTAGAAAGGGACTTCTTAAGATTCCACATTTCATACGGCTAAAAATATTCGTTGATCCTTAGTGGATATTTCTGTGATATGCCAGAATATTCTATTTTATAAACAAACTAAAACACATAAGCTTTGATATTTGTAAGAACTCCTGTTAATATTGTTGCAAACATTATAATCTCAATTCTCTTACAAGGTATGTAGAAGAAGTTAACGCTACATAGAGGGAGGGAGAACAAAAAAGAGCTTAGCTCTCCTCCTAGACAAAGACGGTGCGCCCTCCTCTCCGGCTTTGCTTGTCATAGGCGGTGGTAAACTTCTCCACAAACTCGTTCATGGTGTTGGAGCACTTGGTGATGGTGGCCAGGTACGTCATGAGCAGCGTGTCGTTGTACTCCATCAGGAAATCGTCCTGGAACTTGGGCGAGTCGATGGCGGGCAGGCGGCGGACGAGGCTCGACACCTGCCGGAGGAGCGCATGCTCGGGCGGCGCATCCCCCTTCTGGATCGCGGCCAGGAGATGGTGGAGGACTTTGATCCGGCTGTGGAGCATCTTGATCGCGCTGTGCATCCCGGTGAGGTGCGCCGCCAGCTGCGTCGCGGCGGAGCTCCCGTCCGATGGCTTGATATGGGCGACGTGATCCACCGAGATCCTCTCCGCCTCCACCGTCTCGATCGTGTAGCTCGCCTTGACGAAGATGAGCGACGGCACCCCGTCGATGACATGGAGCTCGCTCTCGTAGATGGACAGCGGGAGCTCCTTGCGCGCGGGGTTGATCGCCGGGTTGAGGAGGAGGTAGACGGGGCTCTCGTTGATGTCCATGAGCGCCTTGTGGATCACCATGTCCGACTCGCGGATGTCCGCGCCGATGGAGTACCAGCCCAGGACGTCGTACTTGGGGAAGACCTTCTTGTACTGCTCCTGCTTGGTCTCCAGGAAGGGGCGATCCAGGGAATCCGTGGCGGCGTCGTGCTTGAGCTCGAAGCTGTTGAAGATCTCTACGTTGCGCCCGGCCTGGACGCCGATTACGCAGCCAAAGACGCGCAGGGGAGGGGGAATACCTGCGCTTCCAGTGGCCGCCGCCTGCGCCATCAGTCGCGTGTAGTGATCGGAGATGTTGACGATGACGAGCGGGTGGAGCTTGAAGGTGAGGCCGCTGCTGGACGACATCGTCCCCGCGCCGCTGCTCGACGCCATGGTATGCTAAGAACCCTAATCTTGGAAGAACCCTAAATGTCGAGGTATCTTTCTTTTGTTTGGGCGGGAGCTTCGTTTTATTTCGGTGAATGCTGCTAGATCGTGATGCTGTTTGGGATCCCTCTCCCCGTGATGCCGGCGCCGGATCGCGGGCACAGGAGCGTGTAAGGTACATTCGCTGGTCCTCTCCTGTTCTTGAGCTGTGGATCGCTGTTGCGTTGCTCAATCCCGCTCTCAATCTCCGCGATGCTGCGCGAGAATGCGTGGAATGCCGCCAGGATTTCGGGGTTGCTCGTCCAGTGCTCGTCGCCTGGGCGCTGTCCCAGGTATTCCTCCTCCTCTGGATGTGTCGAGAGAACTTCCAGTGTTGTGAGGAGCATGGCAGTCTCGGCCTTGGTCGGGATCACACTGAGAAAAAATCTCTCGGGGTTTTCTCGCATCTCTGCGTGTTCTTTGGTCCCTTCTTGCGGTATGAGCCTGTGTGTCTTGGAGGGGTGATTTGGGAGAAATCCTTGGTAAGCGTACTGTCCATAGTTTACTGCTGCATGGCGACCCGAGGCTGTCCAGATCAAAGTTGTGAGGAGGTTTTCCAAGTTGGCCTTAGAGTCTACGCCAGAGATCCATTTCTCGTGGCTCTTGTCTCCATGCCCGGTGCTTCTCACCTCGCTCCACCATTTCTGGAGCTCGTTATCTGCCTGGAGAGCTGCATCGCTCTTGTAGAAAATGTTTATAAACTCGTGCACCCAGCGTCTTATAGCGCTCCAAATCTCCAGTCCGTCGATAGCATACGGATAGTCCTCGATGGTCAGCTTAAGTCCGTGCTTTTCTTTCTCGTCCGGCACAGCCATGCCCCTGCAAGGCAACGTAAGTTCTACTGTTCTTCTTCCTTACTCTCTTTTCAGTAGTACCTCTTGATCAAATCAGCTGGCAGGCTTTGATCGTCAAAACTCCAGGAGTCGTATGCGGCCGAAGACATCTCAAACGAGTACTTTCCTGGCGAGAAGCTCTTTTCAATGACACCACCCGCGCTCGTAAGCGTCTTTCTTGCCAATGCATTCATCGCCAGCGTGTCCTTGAAATGTGGATCCAGCAAGAGATGCAGAGGGTGCATGGTGCTCAGATGTCGACGAGCCGCCAGTATGAAAGGTTCTAACACCGCGTGTGTATATGTCCTGCAGATGCCGGAGATTTGGAAAAAGTTACTCAGAGCGTCTCAACAGTGACCATTTACCAGTGGCTTACGACTTGATGGTACGTTGCATCGTTGCAAGCTGCGTGTGCTTTAGCAAGATCCCATAACCAGTCTTTTTTCTCGGCAGACAAGGGTGGCACAAACACCCTGTGACTACTTGTGTCCGGAGTTTGTGGTGGCAAGCTTAGCTCTATGGCAACTGGTTTAAGGAAGCCCTGCTTAGTTAAAAAGAAGATGGAACGAGACGCGTACGACTGGATCCCTTCTTGCGCATTGATCCTACTCAAAAATGGCATGAAGGTGTCGTAGTAGTCGACGCTGAGGAGTTTTCTTCCTCGGAGAGCCTGAGACAAAAGATTGAAAATTTTTGCACAGGACATAACGAACGGGATCACTGTACCGCTTGAACTGACAATCCCTCGAGCTGCTCTTCAATGTGCTCCGGTTTTAGAGAGGATGGTGCCCCGTATCTCGATGGATCAAGTCTGCTTTCAGGTATAAATGCCTGCATCACCAGAATTCTTTTTGTTTTCTTTTCTCTCAACTGATTCATCGTACCTTCATGCACGTAATTTTCAGCGCATGAACCCCCGCGATAGTCTGGCGAGCAAATTCCAAGTCGGATGACCAGGCCCACTCATCAGCTGAAACGCACAATTAAATGTGAAGGTCCTTTGGAGGTAGAAAAATTGCTTACTCGCAACGATTTGCGGGATTGGATATCTCAGCCAGCTTGTGTTCTTGCAGTCCTTAAAGTCATTCTGGACAAGGACGGTGTGTGGACTGTGTTTCTCCTCGTCATCCGCTGTCGTGGATGCTTCCACGCTCATGTTTTGGTGGTAAAGTTGCATAACTTCTTCGAATGATTTAAAACTCCTTCCGAAAACAGACTTTAACACCGGGAGCAGGCTATGTGCAGCTGCCTTGAGTTTCTCTTCGAACAAAGCACACTGTTTCCGCCTGCTGGGCCTGTCATCGCTTGGAACATAGAAATCTTTTCTTTGAGCTGGCATACTCTCGGCAGAAGGATCTGCAAGCCATTATGGTAAAGAAGCGACACTTGATAGAGCTGACTCACCTGATATTGCAGGACTCCTGCCTGTCCGACAGCGACGTGGATATGGATGCTCTCTGGATCCACCAAGAACGGGGCGAATCATATCCGGGCCTTTTTCAGGATTTCCGAGGTCGTTATACAGATCATAGTCATATATTCTATCCGACTCATGTCGTTCGCCTGTTCCATCTCCTCGCAGGTCTCGCAGCTCACGCTCTCGGAGCTCAGTCAATCCTGGTGGGGTATCGCTAGGAAGGTACACCTATACGCAAGTTACAAGTTGATCAACTTACAGGATGGATCTTTATGTTCCAGCTAACGAAACAGCTGTACCTCATTGCTAAAGAACACACGATCATTCTTATATTTGGAGGCGTTAAATACCCAGGAGTTGCATGGAAAGTGAAGGGCGGTGGCATCAGGTAGCTCGAGCTTTACGTACTTGAGATAAAACTCGTGCTTGTGGTGATTTCTAATCGCGAAGGCTCCAGGGATGCCGAACGACGTGTGGAGCTGGAATATAATCTCGTATTGGACGTCGTCAGGTACGAAACCATCCTTGGATAGAAACCAGTCACTCACTGCCACTTCCGGGCTCTGTTTGCAGTCCCCGGTTTCTGCATTATATAAACAAAGTTGAGAATTGAAAATGCAAGATTGAGCCTATTACCTGGATCGAGCTCGGTGCTCACAAGTTGCAGAGTCACCTTGTTGCCAAGCAGGTCCCCGATATCATCCGCAACATCGGCAGCCACATTGCCGAGCTCGAGTATGTGCTTCTTCTGAACGACTATGCGGCCTCTCACGACGAACTCCATTTTAGAAAAACAAAAGAAAGCCGGCCGGCAGCTTTATACAGTGATGGAACTCTTCTATCAAGAAACGTCGTCAGTTATATTATATAACATTTATGGAACTTTACGAAGGATGTTATATACAAGACACGAGAAAGCGATTCTCCAACGCTCGCGAACTACAAATTAGCTCTCTTCGCCAAAACTTTTACTCTCTCGAGCCGGTCATCCTATCAGATTGATACGCTATTCGGAACTCCTCTACCAGTCAGCCCGAGCCCCGACGATGGGCACAGCAGAGTGAAGGGCACCTCCGCCGGTCCTCTCCTGTTCTCCAGGCTCGGCTCTTCGTTCCTCAACTCGATATCGTCCTCGACGGCCTCCAGTCTCTGCGAGAAGCTCTCGAAGGCAGCCATCACGCGTTGGTCCGACGTCCATTTGGAGCTCGGCTGCTCCCCCAGGAACTCCTGCCCGGGCAGGTGGCTCGACAGCAGCTCGATCGCGCACAGCAGAGTTATAGTCTCAAGCCGGTTGGCCAGCGTCGAGCAGAAGAACTTCTCCGGGTCCTGGAGCAGCTCCTGGTGCTCCTCACTCCCGGCCTCGGGGATGAACCGGTGCGTGATGGTGGGGCGGTTTGGAGTGAAACCGGCGTAAGCAAACTGGCCGAAGTTCACGGCCGCGTGGTGGGCCGAGGCTAGCCAGATGACAGTCGTGAGAACCTCTTTCAACGCGGATTTGGTGCTCAGATCTTGCCAGCCTTCTTTCTTGTCAGCGTGGCCTATCTCGGTGATCTCCCTCCACCAGTTCTGGAGCTCCGTGTCCGCACAGACTGAAACGTCGTACATGTAGAAGATATTGACGTAGTCGTCCACCCAGGTTTGGATCGACGACCAGATCTCCAGGCCATCCACCGCATATGGGTAGTCTTCAATGCGGAGCTTGAGGCCGTGCTTTGCTGTGGGATCCCTGACAGCCATTCCTCTGCAAAGAAAAAATGAAGCTTGTTAAAAGGATTTCTTTTCTCTTTAGCTGATTCCTTACCGTTTGAGCAGATCAGCTGGCAGGCCTTGCTCGTCGAATCTCCACGAGCTCTTGTAGAAGAGGGAGCTGATCTCCAGCGTGTACTTCCCGGTGAAGAACGCTCTCTCGATGATTCCACCAGCGCAGATAAGCAGCCTCCGAGCTTCTGAGTTGATGGAGATGGTGCTCTTGAGGTGTGGTAGAAGCAGGCCTTTCACTGGGTGGAGGTCGCTCAGCTGCCTGTGCGTAGCGATGATGAAAGGCTCAAGCACTGCGTGTGTTCTCAACCTTTGGAAAGAAAAGAGGAGTGATTAAACGTTTTTGATCGAAAGCCTCGAACTTTGCTTCGTACCAGTGACTGATGGCCTGGTGATATGCTGCATCGTTTGTTGATGCGTGGACCTTGGCGAGCTCCCACAACCAATCTCTCTCGCCGGAAGTTTCCCCGGGAACGAACACTCTGTTGATGCAGTGAGCCTCCCCGGGCGATGGGAGGCTTAGTTCAATCGCCACCGGAGTCAGAGTTCCAGCATCTGTCAAGAAGAATATTGTCCGAGAGGCATAGGACTGGACTCCCTCTTGCGCGTTGATCTTCTCCAAGTAAGGCATGAAAGCGTCATGGTAGTCCAGGACAAACAATCTACTCGCTTCCAAAGCCTGCCACAGACGAAAAGACTAAAACCTTCAGCATCCAATGGTTTCACCACGAGTATCAAGCTTGCTACCTCGCTGACGCTCAAGCTTCCCAACTGGCTTTCGATGTGAGCTGCGTTTAGAGAAGATGTTTCCGATGGATCGAGTCGAGGAGGAGGAAACACCTGCGGCGATCGGACATTACATTAAACCTCCAGTCCTTGAAAGAAATTCGATAACATTGCCACATTGTAGTACCTTCAGGCATTCGATGGTAATAGGATTCAATCCTGCAATTGTCTGTCTTGCGAACTCGGAGTCGAGCATCCAGGCGTCGGGATGAGCTGCGAGAAACGCCCGTTAGCTGACATATACAAGTTTAAACTCCCTTCAAGCTATACCTCCAAGAACTTGCGGCAAAGGGAACTTCAAACAGCAGTTGTTGTCTGTTGTGCTACTTTCCTCCGGCTTTAGATTGAAGCCTTCGGTGAAGAGGCTTCTAAGCTCGCCGAAGTTGTCGAAGAAAGGCCTCGAGGCATAAGCCTTGTGAATTTCAGGAATGAGCTGGTAAAGAGACTGAACAGCATTATCTGCTGCACCACACTGCGTAGAGAAAGCAGGCGCCTCACCAGCTGGGAGATACAATTCTTTCTCGCTAGAAGCCGAGCTCTCAAAAGTGTTGTCTGCAGTAGAAGCACATATGTAGAGAGAGACACATCAATGCGGATTTACAAGTACCTGTGTTGGATGGCATGCGACCTGTTCGACACCTTCGAGGATATGGATAAGTGCTGGATCCTCCCAAAACTGGTCTCAGCAAGTCTGGATTGTAGTCAGGATTTCCGAGATCATTGTAGACGTCGTAGTCGTAGATGCGTTCGCCATTGACACGAACTCCACTCCCATTGCCTCGGATGCTTGCTAGCTCGCGCGTCCGAAGCTTCACCAACCCGGAAGGTGTGTCCAGTGGAAGATAAGCCTGCGCATTGCAACGTTTCGAGTGAGAAAAGTTTCCCATCAACAGGAAATAGTTTCTTTGCTACCTTGTTTGCAAAGAAAACACGCTGCTGCCCGTTTGAAATCCAAGTGTCGCACAAGAAACCAATGGTTGTTTTATTTGGCATCTCCAGGACTAGTGACTTCAGCAACATTGGCGTGCCATAGCCGCTGTTCACAAGAATTGCTCCAGGTTCACCAAAATCCTTTCGAACGAGAAACTTGACAGGACACTTGATATCACTCGCAGAAGGCGAAGAATCATGCAAGTGCCAGTCCACAGTTGCAATGTCGCTTAAAACTTCAAGTCGTGTGGCTGGAAAACATAAAACATGGAGGTCAGAAGTGAAAGGAGAGAGATATTCGAGCTCATACTGACCAGAGTCTGCCTTGGTGCTAATCAGCTGTAGCGTGATCGCTTGAATGCCCTCTTGCTCTTGTTTTTGGAAAGTTGCATAGCCTCGCAGCTCAACAGTGCTGGCGGAGCTGAGCGCCTTGAAGGCCTCGGCGAAGAGCTTCACAAAATGGCCATCCTGCGTCACAGGTGAGCTCCTTCTGTGTCCAACACCCGAGAAGTAGCTAAGTTGCGACCGCGTCATGACACTTCTTGCTGCCGGAGCCATCCGAGGAGAAAATCTCCTCCCCCCGTAGACAACAGCAGAAGACATCTGAAACGCCGCGGCCATGGCTCTACAAGAAGCAAGAGAAGAATCGCTACAACTTTGCTGAGCACTCGGAGATGCAATCTTTGCCGAGCAGCACTCGAGAATGTCAAGGCGCTAACACCGACGACTTTCACCGCAACGCGAGCAGGAGACCACTGCTGCTTTCACTGCGGCGAGATACCACAGCCAGAAGCAACAAGCTATTTATAAGCCCGACTTGAGAGTGACATGACATGAGAATCCTTTTAGGACCTTTCACCGCGCAGCAGAGGAGCTCATCTCCACTGCTGCAAATGACCACTGTTGCAATGGACGACACAATCAATGACATCTTACATTCCGGCAGAGATTTCTTTCTGCCACTCGACACCTTTGACCGACTCCACTCCGCCGGCTCACAAACAAACCGTCAGGTTCCCAAACCGCCGGACACTTCCTTGTGGTTAGAGAGATGGAAAAAGAGAAGAGCCGAAAGAAGAAAGAAGAAGGAAAGCAAATTGCCACGGAGGGGGGCGGATGGGCCCGACTGGACACCGAAATTCGACCGTGCACGATGCGGCACAAGTGACAAACCACGCTTGGACTATCGAAGGAATCCATAGCCAGCCTGTTGTTTGACGCTAGAGACTAAGACATCAAGCCGCTGTAGCTCTAAAAAGTCTTACCAGAGACGCGGAGCTCCAGTTGCGTGCGATCCTAGGATAGATCTAGCGCCTGGAAAACGCGCGCCGGTGGTTGATCCATCCGGGGCGCCGTCCGGGCCCCGAGCGGCGCCTGGGCGGGCGGGGCTACAAAAAAGCGACGAACCCTAAACCCTGGCGGGATATTCTTCAGTTGACCGTTGGGGGTGACGATGCCGTGACGTGGCGCCGTCGGGCTCGAGCCGTCCACGTGGCACAAGATCTGACGGCTGCGTTTGTGTCTTTTTGGGCCATTAGATTCATGAATGATCAACGCGAGGGGGGATCTCTATGAGTGATTTGCACGACCGCACTCCATTTTTGCTTTTTTAAATTTATTTTCTTCTTGGCTTTCAAGTTCTTCTTTGATGAGCGATTTGATTCTCATCGGTTTAGAATTTCTTTGGATTGTGATAACTGGCTTGTAAAGTCGTATAGGAGATTGACACGATAAAAGCAGCCATTGCTACAGGAGCTCTCTCGAGGTTTGGTATCGAGTTCGCATTACCGAATGGCGAGATTCGCGCCCATCGAAAAGAAATACTTGTCATCGTCACTCCGAATGATCGCACTCGCGAATGTCAAGGGAGCGCTCGCGAATGTGTTGCACTGTAAGAGAACGCGGAAGAAAAAAGAAAGAAATCCACGAAGAAAGAGGGAATGCGATCGCACAGAAAAGACGAGCTTTCTTGCTTGACAGAATCAAGTGCCAATGATCGGTGAGCAGAGCATGACAGCGCAAAAGCTCTCTCGATTTGTCAAAAACTTGAAACAGTCAAGTCTGGAAGAACACACGCGCACTGAAAAGCTCGAAGAAGCTTATCGTCGCATCATGGGAAACGAAAAAAGAGATTTTGACGCTTCGAGCAAATCGTTTCGATGGATTGCAACGAGACAAGTCAACGCACTCTTTACAGCAAATCAACCAGCGAAAAAATCGAAGAAAACTAGAAACAAACACCAAAAAAATCGTGATAGCATATCAAAGAGAGGAAGAAACAAGGAAAAAAAAAAAAAGAGAGGAAAGAGAAGAAGAGAAGTTTGAGGTACTAAGAAGTACCTCGAATAAGTAGCGAGGATGAAGCACTTGGAATCCATCCTCCAAAGATCGTGCTTTTCCCTGGCGACGGCGATGGCGATGGAGCGAGCGATGGTGGAAGCAAAGATCAGCTAAGAGCAGCAGGCCGATCTTTGCCCCGCCGCCCCGGCCCCCGGCCCGGTCCCCGGATCCGGCCGCGTGATCTGTATGTTACTGCTCGCCACCTCGGGCCGCGCAGCCTCGCTCTCCTCGAGCCTGCGCTTGATATCCCTGGCGATGGCGAAGAACGTCTCCTCTACATTCTGCCCGGTCTTGGCGCTCGTCTCGAAGAACCGGATCCCATACTCGTTGGCCAGCGCCTGGCCCTGCGCGGTGGTGACCGCCCTCTTGCTCTCGTCCATGTCCGCCTTGTTGCCCACCAGCACCCGGCTCACATTCTCGCTCGCGTTCTGCTCGATGTTCTTCACCCAGTTGCGGATGTTGTTGAACGAGGACTCGTCCGTCACGTCGTAGACGAGGATGATCCCCATGGCGCCGCGGTAGTAGGCGGTGGTGATGGTCCGGAAGCGCTCCTGCCCGGCCGTGTCCCACACCTGGAGCTTGACGCGCCGCCCGTCCAGCTCGATGGTCCGGATCTTAAAGTCGATGCCGATGGTCGTGATGAAGCTGGTGGTGAAGGAGTCGTCCGAGAAGCGCAGCAGCACGCAGCTCTTGCCCACGCCGCTGTCGCCGATGAGCAGCAGCTTGATGCGGTAGTCGTGGTCGGCGCCAGCGCCGGGCCTCACCGCCGAAGACATTATGCCCTCCTCCTCCTCCTCCTTCCTCCTCCTCTGGATGATCGATCGGTTCTTCTCGATCGGTTGCGATCGATTCCCTTTCCTAGCTCCTCCTAGATCTGGACCGAGATTGCGGGATTCCTGCTCGAAATACCTGGCCGCCGCGGACGGAATCCTCGCCGCTCCACGCTCCCACCGCGCGATCGATCAATCAATCAAAACCCTAGAGCACTGGAAGGCCCTATTCATGTCACTCGGCATAAAGTACGACGAAGCTGTACATCTCAAATTCCAGCCGTTGGATCCCGCTGATCCGACCGTCCGTTTGCCAATGGGCCTCGTCTTAGATGGCGGCAAAAATTAACATGCACAAACTTTGTCCTCTTATTTGGAGAAAACGTCGAGCAAACTACCTGGGATCCTCGTCCGGATCGCCTGCTACAAATCGGTGCTCTAGGAGCTGCGAGAAGAGAAGATCAAAACCAGGTAGAAGAAGAACACCAAACAAGGATAGAAAACCTGAGTTGCTGTTGGTCTCAATCTCGGGTCCATTTGGAAACACTGCTGGAGGAAGTCCTTGACACAGCCCGAGCCGTGCTCGGGGATTGGCGGCCCACTGCTCGCCTTTGCAATGTGGAAGATTGCGCTCCAAGTGTTGTCAATGTCCGGCCAAGGGTGCCTGAGAAGATTTCCAAACTTTAGTTTTGCCAGAAGGACACAAAGACGCTTGCTAGATACTTGAAGAACTAGAAGAACTTGGAAGCTGTGCGAGAGCGACGAAAAGGAAAGAGAGAAACCGATCGCACGAAACTTGAAGAACTATGGAAGAGCTAAAAAACCAAGGAACTTACTCTCGACACTTACATGGCTGTGAGCATTTCAATGACTGTGCAGCCGACGCTCCATATATCAGCACGGCGTCCGTAGCCGTCGCCCTTGATAACCTCGGGTGCCATCCAGAAAACCGAGCCCCGTATCGACTTGCATTCGTTCGTCACGGTAGGATCATGGAAAGCCTGTGGACAAAACTGACAAGTTAACTTCCGAGGGACGAAGAAGAAAGCCAATATTACATACCTTGGAAGCTCCAAAGTCGGCCAACTTAACCACGCCAATAGCGTCCACGAGAACGTTCCCTCCTTTGATGTCGCGGTGGACAATCCTGTTCTCGTGGAGGTACTGGAGGCCGAGCAGCAGCTGCCGGGTGTAAACTCGGACGAGAGGCTCACTGAACCGACCGAATCTCTCCAGCATGCTGTTCAAAAGCAAGAGGTGATATGAGAAGTTAAAATACGCAGCTTGCCTTTGGATTGATCCGCCTGAAACGTACTCGAGGAATATGTATAAGCTTCCACTTTGCTCGTCTTGCTCCATATTGATGTAGCCAACAATGTGCTTGTGCCTCAACTTCCTGTAAAGATTGATCTCTCGCTCCAGAGCTGCGAGATAGAAAGACTTTTCTTGTCCTTCGCCAGGATCAATCTTCAGCTGCTTGACAGCCATCAGCTCACCCGTAGACTGGTTGAGCCCGGAGAAGACCTGAGAAAATTCAGAGCTCCTTAGCAACACGTCTCAACAAACCTCGGATCTTAGCAAGAAAACATGAATTCCACCTTACTTTTCCATATGCACCCTCACCAAGAAGTTCTCCTTTAGTCCATTTGAATTTGCCCGTTGTCTTAGCTTCCGGTTGCGGGAACAGCTTCTCCGCAACACCTTGGCTCGACGACGGGCTCGTCTCCGGTACCGCTGCTCCTGCAGCTGCTGCTTGTTGTTGTGGCTGTTCCTGGCACTGTCCACTGCAGTTATCCTTCCCGCACCTTTGGCACTGAACTTTAGCTTTCTCAGGCACCGCTGTTTCATCAAGAAACTGCACGGATCTCCTCCTGGATCTCACACCAGTTTCACTGTCATTGCTCCGCGACGAGCACTCCGTTCTCAGTCCTGACTCCCGCTCCTCTTTGAGGTTTTCCCTGTCTTGGACACCTTTTCTCAGCCTCTCCTTCCTCTGTTCCATCACTCGCTGTATGTTCTTCGGGCTCTCGCTCCGAGGCGAAACTTTCTGCATTGTCGTCTCGACAAATCCATTCTCGCTGCAAGGTAGTGGCGGAACTGAAACTGGATTTTGGATCACCACCTTCGAACATCTAGTCGTCGGGCTCCGGCACTGGGTTGCGCTATCAGGCGTGGGACTGTCGAACTGAGTTTCCAGACTGCCAAACTTCTGGGCGATATTCGACTCGCTGCTGGAGCGCATCCGGCAAGTGAGAAGATGGCGAATCCGACTGTCATGCGTAAGCTGCACCGCAAGTTGGCCATCGTCAGTCTTATGGAACATGTTGGCACCAGCAACAAGTAAAAGCTTGATAACGCCCCTGCCCGAGAAAAGTTCATGAAACTTGCAAGCACGCAAAAGGTAAGAAATAAATGTTACCGGTGGCCTCCTGCTGCAGCGTGGTGGAGAGCGGTCCCTTTGCTTCTATCTTCGTAGTTTATGTCGGCACCAGCTGCCAGGAGCATTCGCACAATTTTCTCGTTCCCAATTGCGGCAGCAAGGATCAAGGGACTAACCTGTGAAGGAAAAGCTGGCCTTGTAACCATCAGCAGCGATCAGATATTCTTAAAGAATTAATATTCAACCTTGCAGCGAATATCTCACCTTTGAATTCGCACTATCGTCTGGACTGGCTCCCTGCCGGAGGTAGTAAGCAACCATATCGGGCTGCTGGGACGTAACAGCTTCTTCCAAAGATGAAGGAACTTCTGTGCAAAGAAGAAACACATTGCCTCAAAGCTTTCAAACTAGAGAGTGCTACCTTCAAACGGCCGTTCTATGTCTGGGATCACAATTTCTTTATGAGACTTGTTTGCCGCGTTTAGTTTGGAGTCCTCTTGCATCACGCTGGCTTTCGGAGGAAAACTATGTCTTCTTGTAAGCCGCGGGGATTCCATCTCTTGTGTTGGCGAACCAGATAACGGTCCTGGCTGCTCAAAACCAAGTTATACCTAGACAAAAGAAGGAAGGAAACGTTTGGTACCATGACAGCTTTTGGATCGTTGAAAGCCTGCTCGATTCCACTTCCCGGAGGTGTCGCTGGAGAAGACTTAGTGCTTGCTGGCGAAGGAGTAGAAGATTTAGAGGAGCTGCTGCTGTCACTGGAACGGTGCCAGGGACCACAGAACGGACTCGGAGACGGGGAGCTTGGAGTTCGAGGAAGAAAAACTCGGAGCTGCTTGTTTCGAATGGGAGGGCGAGCTCCGGAGGCATCCAACGCGTGGTCCGCCACCTCCTCCTCGAGGCAGCTCGGGTTCAACACTGGCGGGCTTGGCCGAGAACTGGAGATTCGAATCCCAGTGAAACAATACTCATGGACTTTCCCATCGTCTTCTTGGGACTTCGCGCTACTGTTCCCCGAGGAACTCATCTCCTCGGCAGTCTAAGTGATCATCAAGAGTAGTAGCCTGTGAAAGATAAACGCAGTGAAAACAAAGCAAAGAAAGATAACGTTCTCAAAAAGTTTACCTCTTGAAAAGGCGCTCACAACGATAATGCAGCGAGGACTACACGCACACGCGCACGCACGCCAAGTTCTCTCCGTCGACGTCACCTGACGGGTTTCATGTGAAAGACCGGTGGCCGTTGGCTACCAGGAGCGCTTTCCAAGATGGAATCACACAAAATCAACGGCAAAAGAGATTGAAACCGGGATACCATCCGTTACGAAAAAACAAAACGAAAACTGGTAACTGAACAAAGAAGATGGAATAAACAAGGAGAAAAAAAAGGATAGGATACATACATTTCTATGTGGTTGACGATACCAGCCTGCATCTAATGATACCAGCAGCTCCACCGTAACACACCCAGCCAGCGCTGCTCTTGTTCGGGTTCCACTTGACCCTGTGAACTGCCACTAGCTTTGAAGGCATCTCTTCCACCGTGTTTGGAGGTTGCACGGCTTTACCGCTGGTATCCAAGGCACTATCTAAAATCTCTTCCTTGCAAACCAACGCTCCTGCCTGTCCTGCTCCTCCAGCCGGTGTTTGAGGTTCTTCCAAGTCCATTGGCCCGGGAAATCCTTCGGTTTCTTCCACGTTTACTACCGGACTGTCGGCACTGGGAGCGTTTTTTTTCCTCCCCCTCTTTCCCTTTTTCTTGTTTGGGCTGTCTGCTGTAGGTGGTAAAAGACCTGCAGCTATGCTGCTTGCTCTCATTTCCTGGTTGACACTAACGGTAAATCCCCGTTTGGACCTCGGTGTGAAGCTCCATTCCGTGAGTGACCTTTTCATTTGAACGGGCCCCTGGAAATCCTGAGAAACTATGACTAATGCCTTCTTCTCCCTGTTCACTGCGAAGGCACCACATAGGTAGTGAGGTTCCCTGTAGCGTGTACCTCCTTTCTCTATTGCTTTTTCACTTAGCTGTAAGCAGACAAAGTAAATCTGTGCGTGAAATTTAGAAAAGATAGCTACCTCAAAGTGAATAACCGATCCATCAGCACTGCAATATGCTACAAAGCCTGCATATCTCAAAATAAGAAATATAAAAAACGTAACCATAAAACGTACCTGTATTCCGGCACACTTGAATGTTCCAAATTGCAAAAGAGGAGCAGTAGTAAGATTGCACCCCTTGAGCTTGAGTCCCTGTGAAAGGCTTCCCTGTAACAGGTGTATCAGACAGAGCGTTGTTTAAACTGATGGTCCGCAGCGTCCCATCGTCCAAGGTCACCAAGATACATCTGAAAACTTTGCATGTTAGCATGCTTCTCAACAGTAGGAAAATACTACCTTGGCACTTCAAGCCAATCCATGCATAAAATCTGTCCTCTAGACAGTCTCAGTTCCCACAACGGCCGAAAAGGATCCCTACAAAAGTTAAAAAGAGCTCAAAACAAATCAAAGCGAGGAACCATTACCTTAGATCCCAAAACTTCAAGTGACCGCTGTGGCCACCGGTCGCAACTATGTGTTCCCCCTCGATACCACTGTTCAAAAGCTTGTCAGATGAATATAAAAGCAGTAACAAATACCTGTGAGAAGGTGCCCATGCTATGGTACGCAAAGCAAAACTATCCGCTATGAAAAACAATAGAGGCCGAGTTTCTGCAATCCCCTACTGTTAATAACATCCTAAATGTAGCAAAATACTCACCCTCGTTGGCGTTAGTAGGAGTGAATTTCCAGAGTGCAACCTGTAAACGGTGTAAGTAAAAAGACTACAATCGCATGGCGAATTACCGTCCCGTCATGGCAACCGGCGAGGAGCAAGTCATGTGGAGACGAGGTTGACCACTCAAGAGTCAGCGGAATACTGCAAAAGATAAATCAGTGGCGTTTGTAGATTATCGTCACATCCACTTACAATACCTCTTTTGACCACCGCTTCTCAGCTCCGAGCATTTGAATACCGGCGCCATGGAAACGACCATAGGAACACCCTTGGAATCCAAAGTCTCAAATACCTTCGGCAATGGCACGTCAAACCTGAGATCAGGCGTTAGAAAGTTTCGCAGAAGAGATAGCCAACAAGCACTTACACTTGCAACGACCCGTCACCTAGTGCTAGCGCAAGAAAACCAAGGCGTAGAAATTCCCGGTCTTGATAGTTGGCAACGGCATTCCTTCCTTCTGCTGGTTGCCACTTTGCATCCCACGTAACTCCACCTTCGTGTGCTATAGCTAGAGCCATCTTTGGAAGTTCCAGATCTCTTGACCGCCGTCCTGGTCGTTTTGTTCTGGCACTGTCTTTCATTCTGGAGAGTCCCTTGGGAGTTGCCCCCCTGCCACCTCTTCCCCTTCCACGCCTCCCTCTCCCTCTCCCTCTCCCTCTCCCTCTGCCCCTTCCACCGTCACCTTCGTAAACCACTTCCACATCCATTTCTTCCGTCTCCTCGAGTAGATGTTCTGGCTGCGCGTGAGCACCGACCGGATCGGGTTCTGTGCCATCACTGTCTTGTGTTCCATCGTTAGAAAGTTCGTCGGCTTCCGCTGTGAAGCTGTAGGCCCAAACCTGAACCAAGGCCTTTCCAGACAAAGGCTCACCGAGTTTGTGATATTCTGACAATGGCTGTCCAAACCTCCTGGGAGTCAATGATGCAGGATGGGCTCCAACAGCCAAATACTGCAGAAAAAAACGAAGGTAACGAAGTCCAACACAAATGAAAGGATTAGACCTCTTTCTCAGAACCATCTTGCAAGATCTTCCAACCTGGCCGCTGCGGACACCAGTCTAAGCACCAGACAGAACCTCCGACGTGCGAAACAAACTCGTCAGTATTCTCGACGCCAGGCTTCTACGCAACAGAACAACAAATAAGTCCTTGCAAACTTGATCAAAAGAAGAAACATGCTTTTGGAGTCAGCGCCGAAGCAAAGAGAGGAAGTTGAAACTCATCCGAGTTTGTGGCTCCATCTCCGGAGTTAAAATCAACCTTCGGCGAAAAACTGGCATACTTGCAATCGGATTGCCAAAACCTGGTGAAAAAAATACTTAGAACAACACTGAAACATCGTAGCAATAGGAGAGAACGAGACTCACTCGGACACTTGAATTTCGGACGTCCATTGCCTCGCAACTTCCTCCAGTTCCTCCCTGATTTGCTTGAAAGACTCGTCCTCCTCCGGATTCTCCAAGCCAGAGTCTCGCCTCCTCCTAGCACTCTTTCCCAAATTTCCCCACGCCCGCCCGCCCTGTGGCCTCTCTCGAGCCCCCTCCGCGGCCCTCTTTCCTCTTCCTCGCGATAAATCCTGGCTAAGCGCGCCCTCGATATTCCATCCGGAATCCGGCTCCGTCCTGTGAGCTACCAGTTGCATTGCGAGGCCTGGCGATTCCAGGGCCGCGGGGCTCGCCCCAGCTCCAGACGTGGTAGCGTAGATCGAGCCATCGGGCCTTACCGCCTCGATGTCGAGAGCATCCATCCCGGTGCTCTCGAAGGCGTGAATTTCCTCCATCTCCAAAGACACCCTAACCCTAAATTCTAAAGGAATCTAGGGCTTTTCGTGGCGTGGCGATGGCGTCGCTAAGAAATGCCGTGAGGCGCCGCGAGCACAAGGAGCGATCGCAGCCGTGAGTGAGCTCATTTCTTTGATTTTCCGACCAAAACAAGTTCTTGCAGGAGCGAGCGAGCGCGATTTGGATTGCTCGAGAAGCACAAGGATTATGTGCTTCGCGCAAAGGATTTCCACAGGAAGGAGAAGACGATACAAGTAAGGAAGTTTCTTCTCGTTAGAGGTATGACAGGAATTTCTTCTCTACTGTATAACAGACATTGCAAGAGAAAGCCTTGACTAAAAATCCGGATGAGTTCTACCATCGAATGATCAGCACTAAAACCGTGAATGGAGTCCACAGGCCCAAGAGCTTGGCAAAGCAGTACACGCAGGAAGAGCTCCTACTCATGAAGACACAGGATGTTAAATACATTCTATGCAAAGCACAGTCCGAACAGAAGGTAAAAACTAACCAAGCTCACTCTTCCAAGCCTCAAAATCTCTTTTTTGTGACTCCAGAAAGTGGATAGATTGCAAGCAGTGTTGCACGGCCTAGACAAAGCTCGAGAGAATCAACACTCTTATTTCGCTGAGGACGGGTAACGGTACTTTCTCTATTGTTCGAGTGTGAGATCGATCTTTGGTTTTACAGCGACGAGGTGAATGAGATGAGAGGCAATCTAAGAAACGGCGAATCTCCTTCGAGCAGCAGCGATTTACCTCTAGAAGTGAACAGGTAATCAATCGTGTTCATCGCAAACAAAACCCCGTTTTGGACTGGAGATTGAGATTGCTTTCTTCACAGGGATCGTGAAGCTGCCTACAACGAGCTCGCTCAACGAAAGGAGCGATTGGAGAAGCTCAAGAGCATGGTGATAACAATGTCCATGCAAAAGGAAATCATGGTCCGATCTTTCCTTGCCGTCAATACGATCTCGTGAATGTTTTGGTGTTTCATCGCAGGGAAAGGGAAGGAAGAGGAAGATGAAGAGCGACGAACTGGTCACACCAAGCAGTATGCCCGTTTTTAAGTGGAGGAACGAGCGAAAAAAGTAACCATTAACATACGACCAGCAGTTAGGAGGTAAAGTTCATCACTCTATGTCTGTCGAATCGCCATAGATTCGGGATATTTTTTGTTGTCCAAATAGAAGAGCGCCATTCAATCCCGCCCCCTAGATTCCTGGAAAGATCAAGTATAACATTTGATTCTATAGTGTCAATCGGAAGTCGCAATCAAGCCAAATCTTATCCAATCCCAGCTGCCCGCGTGGCCAAATCTCCTACATTGTTGTTCACAGCTAAGCCACGCGGCGCAAGGTGGCTATCCCTCGCCTTTCTCACGTGGCTTGTATAATCTGGGGTTCGCGGTTGCTTCCGGGAGGGACACGCGTCGCAAGCCCATGTCCCCTGGCCATCGATGTGTGCCACGTCCCGTCAGAGATTGCCGAGCGGCGTGACATCTGGCGCATCGAGTGTCACAGTTGGGCGTTCCGCCGTGTCCGTACGAAGATCAAGTGACACGGATAACATCCACAGTGGAGAATCCCGGCAATCTATAAAAGACGATCGCGGCTGCTAGTGAGACCATCGTCCAAAGCATTGGGAGGAATTCACACTCGAGGCACACGCGATCGCATTCAATCACAGGGGAAGTAGCAGTCAATCAAATCGATTCATCCAGGTGCTCTGTTCTTGGGGGTCTTGATTTTGCTAGAGCTCTTCTAGATTCAGCATTGGGCGCGTTCTAGCGGCTACAATGGGCAGGATAGTGCGATCACCCATGGCAGCGGGGAAGAGATACAAGGGAGTGAGGATGAGGAGCTGGGGGAAATGGGTCACAGAGATTAGGGAGCCCAAGAAGCGATCGCGCATTTGGCTGGGATCATACGCCACAGCGGAGGTCGCCGCCAGGGCCTACGACGCCGCGCTCATGTGTCTGCGCGGCCCCTCGGCGCAATTCAACTTCCCAGACGCTGTTCCAGCGGATCTTCCATACAATCCTCAGTGCTCTCCGGCGTTCGTCCAGAAGGCGGCGGCGGCGGCGGCGGCCCAAGCGGCGGCGGCGCTGGGATCCAGCGGCAGCTCCTCGGATCACGAGGAAGTCTCCAATTCCTCCTCGTCGGTCCCTTCCTTCGAGACGTGCTCGCCCTCCACCTCGTCCTGCGGGAACGTTTCCTCCTCTTTCTCCTCCGACGAGGAGGTGAGCAACGCAAAGGAGGAACAGGAAAGCGGGAAATCGGAGATCCAGCAGCAGGGGTCACTCGCATTCGACGATCTCAAGGCGATTCTCGAGTTCCCGGTGAATCTCTCGGAGCTGGATGGAGCAATCTTCCAGGGATTGAACGAGGAGAGTGGATTGCTGCTCCAGGGGACCAACACCGGCGTTAATCTGGACGATGGGTTGTGGATTTGGCAGTAGAGCCCGTATCGATCGGTTTCTTCTTCGTTTTTGCATCTTCGTCTTTTTGATCGCGAGACAAATGTACATTGTAGATACGATTTAGTGTCCACCAATTTGTGGCGAATTATATAAACCTTCCTAAATTTCGGATTAGCACTAAGCTGTCAAACGGTCTAATGCGCTCCACGTGGGCGCCGTGCCGAGGGGACGGGTGGCGCTCTGTTGTGGCGAAATCTGGACCCTCGGTTTGCCAATTCTAACATCCTACTGTAGCCGCCGGATGTGATGATAGCTATGGCACCTTGAAAGGAAAATTTCTCTTCCTCGCAGGAAACACGGCGCGCGGTTGTGTGAATTTCTCGAATTCGGGGCATGCGCAGCTAAGGGGGACCGGAAGAATCGTCTCGTCTGTGCGTTCGTCTCCTCGGTTGATCGGCGCGATTGCTAATTGCTATGGCGGATCGTCCGGGCAGCCCCGACAACAGCTCCGATGAATCGGGCGGAGGGGGAAATCTGAGCTCGCTGTCGCCGCGCGAGCAGGATCGCTTCCTCCCCATCGCCAATGTGAGCCGGATCATGAAGCGCGGGCTGCCCGGCAACGCCAAGATCTCCAAGGACGCCAAGGAGACGGTCCAGGAGTGCGTGTCGGAGTTCATCAGCTTCGTCACGGGCGAGGCGTCGGACAAGTGCCAGCGCGAGAAGCGCAAGACGATCAATGGGGATGATCTGCTGTGGGCGATGAGCACGCTGGGATTCGAGGACTACGTGGAGCCGCTCAGGGTTTACCTCCACAAGTACCGCGAGCAGGAGGGCGAGAAGGCAATGCTGGCCAAGGCGGGCGAGCGCGAGTCTCACGCCGATCCGGCGCCACTGCCGCGAGCGATGATCATGTCTGGCTATGGATTCCACCACCGCTGATCAAAGCCAAGCGATCGATGGGATTTCCAGTTCCTTTCTCCTTAGTAGTAGGAGAAATTGACACCACGCTGAGCTTGTAATCACTTCCTGAAACTAACAGCAAATCCTTCCTTCCACTTCTTCCTCTTTGTCGATGTTCTCCCAGTCACTGTTGCTCGATGGTCAATCAAAATCCCTCCACTTTGGCCGATCGATCGAGCGGTGGTCACTGTAAAATGGGGCGTGCCAGTTCGAAAGTGGAGAATCTGGTGAATCATCAGCGTTGGAATCTTGTCCTTCTCTCCCCCTCTGTCCTCCACACGTCTCGTCCACAAGAGCTTTTTAGGTGAGTCAGGGAAGAGAAATAAAAGAAAATGTTCTCCACAGGATTAGGGTTCTTCACTCCCATCGCGAGGTTCCATTGCGCCACAGGCGAGGCGCGCTACAAGACAATGGCGATGGCGTCACAGCAGCATCACTTTGGCGCCCAGCCATATTCACGAGGTATCAAAAGATTCTCTTCTTCGCATTGATGGCGCCAGCGACGATGCGCACCCAATCCCGAAGTTTGTTTCTAGCGGGAGCAACCAGGTCATGCAAAACGATGCCTCCGATTCTTCACGGCCATGGTTGCGGCTCCAGTGATGCTCAGCTTGATCTTTACGATGCTCTACATGCCGGCATTCCGGGACCTCTCTTTCAATGAGTAAGCTTTCCGCGAGTTAACGCCGGACGCAGTGTTCCAGATCTTCGTGTTTAGCGTCTCGCTCTGTACGGGACTAGAACCCGAGGTCTCGCCCATCTCTCCGTACACTATGGTTCTCGCCAATGTCAATGATCCCTTGGCACAGCTCTTGTTGCCTTTCTCTGTGGCGCTGGTAAGACTGCTATTCCTTTTTTTATTCTTTTGCGACTCCTCTGATTACTTGCAGTGTTTTCACGAATCTCGCAACCATCGCGGCCGATATGATGCTCGTCGATGGCGATCATATCTCGAGAAAGATCAATCTTTCAGGTCAGTGAATTGTTTTGCTTGAGTCTTCCACGAAAGAAATTTGATTGACTTTGTCGGGCTGGCGAATTCTATCGCAGAGTGCTCATGGGACCACAACCGTGCGAACTGGTTGATCTCAAGGTTGAGCTCACCTTGAAATACACTTTGCTCAAAGTCGGGGAAATACTTTTGGGGAATGGAACCTCTCAAGCTTGTAAGACGCTCCCGACAACCTTGAGCTTCAAGTGATACTTACATTGATCTTTGTGCTGGTCAGGTTCGCAAGGGATACTTTTATCTTAAATATGGAATGCTTGTGAAGCATGTAATAGACGAGAAGAGCCCACTCTACAAGCGGTCTCTGATCAAAGAAGACGCGATCATCTCCCTCGGAGTGGTAAGCTCGTGTTTGTTTACGCATCATCGCAATCCTAATTTCTGTTTCTTCTGGTCTCGAAAGGTTTCCTCCTCATTAACAAGAACACGAGCGTTTACATTGTCGATCAGACAATAGGTTTTGAGTGGAAAATTTTCTAGGATCGTGCGTCATCTTTTTCTTAGCCTCAAACAAACTGGAAGTTTTCACCGATTACAAGGTATTAGTAGCAAATTCCTAGAACTTTTATCCCACCCTCTCGATGGCCACTGCAGTTGGAAAGTGGAGAATCTGGTGAATCATCATCGATGGAATCTTCCCTCCCCTTCTCTCCTCCACGCGTCTCGTCCACAAGAGCTTTTAGGCAGCGAGGATGGATGGACAGAGAAGAGAAATAAAAGAAAATGCTGTCCACAGGATTAGGGTTCTTCACTCCCAGCGCGAGGATCCATTGCGCCAGGGCGCCGCGGACGAGGCGCGCTAGGAGAAAATGGCGATGGCGTCACAAGATCGTCACTTTCGCGCCCAGCCAGATTCACGAGGTATCAAAAGATTCTCCTCCTCGCATTGGCGATGGCGATGGCGATGGCGCCGGCGACGATGCGCCTCTGGAGCTGGAGCTCACGCAATCCGAGCTCCCGGATCTTGTTTCTAGCGGGAGCTACCAGGTCTTGCAAGACGATGCCTCCATCGTCTCGGATTTCTACACATTCTTGGTGAAGCAGGACTTTTCGGGGTTCTTCACGGCCATGGTTGCGGCTCCAGTGATGCTCAGCTTGATCTTCACGGTGCTCTACGTGCCGGCATTCCGGGACCTCTCTTACGAGGATCACGCTTTCCGGGAGTTAACGCCGCTCGCGCTGTTCCAGATCTTCATGTTTAGCGTCTCGCTCTGTACGGGACTAGAACCCGAGGTCTCGCCCATCTCTCCGTACACAATGGTTCTCGCCAACGTCAATGCTCTCTTGGCACAGCTCTTGTTCGCCTTTCTCAGTGGCGCTGGTAAGACTCCTATTTCCTTTTCTTCTTTCGTGACTCCTTGTTTTCCTCCTGATTACTTGCAGTGTTTTCGCGACTCTCGCAACCATCGCGGCCGATAAAATGCTCGTCGATGGCGATCATATCTCGAGAAAGATCAAACTCTTCACGATCTTTCAGGTGAGCGAGTGGTTTCGCTTGGTTCTTTTGTGAAAGATATGTCTGATTGGTTTTGTGGGTGGCGAATTCTAGCGCAGAGTGCTCATGGCTAGATTCGTTTTAACGGGACCGCAACCATGCGAACTTGTTGATGTGAAGGTTGAGCTGACCTTGAAATACACTGCTCTATCAAAGTCGGGGAAATACTCCCGAGGAATGGAACCTCTCAAGCTAGTAAGACATACCCAACAACCTTGAGCTTCAAGCCAGATATTTACATTGTTCTTTGCACTTGTCAGGTTCGAAAGGGATGTTTTTATCTCAACTATGGAATGCTTGTGAGGCATGTAATAGACGAGAAGAGTCCACTCTACAATCGAACTCTGGAGATGCTGATCAAAGAAGACGCAGCCATTTTCCTTGGAGTGGTAAGCTTGTTTCTTTACGCATAAGCAATCCTAAGCATTTTGTTTTTGTTTTTCTCAGGTTGGTCTCGAAAGATCATCCATGCAACCGGTTTTCCACGTCCAGCAATACTGTGCACGCGAGGGACACATTGTCTGGGACGCGAAATTCAACGACATGATCCTCATTAACAAGAACAAGAGCGTACGCATAGTTGATCACTCTCGGCTAAGCTCGTGGACTAGACAATAGATTTTGCTACCGGGAAGTTCTCTGAGATCCTAGCATCCAAAGTTAGAGCCGAGAGGAAAAGTTTTCTATACGCGAGATCACGCTGAGTCTTCCTCGTCATCACCACTGTCGTCAGCGATGAGCTCGCGTCTCTTGTTTCCTCGGTCGAACAGATGAAGCCACCAGATCTTTTTTTTCCTTGGCTGCTCGAATTCCACACCTTCGAATTTCAGCTTGGAGTCAAAGTAGCGGGTGCCGTAAGCGCCGCCCAGCCCCCAGCCAAGTCCTACACCAACGCCGCAGCCTCCACCTAGGAAGATCAATAGAAAACCACTGATTTTCAGCGTGGAAGTTCTCGATCGTACCGATTCCAAGGCCGAGGGTTTGAATCGAAGCGCCTTGAATCGTCTAGTCAGAGGAAATCTGTGAAAACCGGCTCCATTCTTACCTCCAAATCCCCAGCCGATCCCAAAACCACATCCAATCCCAGCGCCTGGACGCACATTTCTCAGCTCCGGCGAAACTTTGCTCTAGAGCGCTTACCGAAACCAACGCCTACGCCGTTGAATTGAGTCACAACCATGGCTAGAACAACAATAAACCCTAATTCTCTATGGGAACAAAGCTTTATCCAACGGCTGGAATTGCGCTGGATCCAACGGCTGCCATTGCTATAAACCTCGATAGATATTTTCACTTATCTACGGTGGATGATGGCGTTCCGTGTCGGAATGTACACCCTCGGTTCCCTTACTCGAAATCTCCCTGGGCGAAGCCCACGGCAACCAGGCGCTTGGTTCCTTGTCTGTCAATCCAATGGTAAGTGAATTCGCATTGCCGCTAGTTTGGTCGATTTGCAACTAGATTCCCCTATAGATCTCTTTGTAAGGTTGTAGAATGAGGGTTTAATCCATGGATTGGGGTTCTAGGGGAGCAGTAGACACACAATTGTGCTCTTCCAGCCGTACCCAAACAGGAGTAGTCGGACGTACATGGAATTCGACAGCGTGTATCAATCGATGGATGGTATGCGCTAGAAATCTTTCTCCTCTCAAAGAAATCTTTGCTGAGCGATTGAGATTGTGAGAAATTTTCGAGCAGGGATTTGTGGGCTGTTTGAGAAGAGGCTCAAGGACAGCAATCCCACGGTCCGGAACCTCACGTACGATGTGAGCGAGCTCTACGAGTTCATCGATGCGCTGCCCGATCTCTCGGCACTAATGTAGGCTATCAATCGCGAAAATATTGCTTTTTTCATTGATCGATCGCTCCTTCGTGCTGTGTAGCTTCGACACCGACCTCCAGGCTTACGTTCCTTACGATCGATCGTGGATTAAGCTGCGCGTCTATCAGCATCTCAAGAAGTACGCGTCGCAAGGCCCGCGCAGTGGATAGAAGAAGAAAATCGCGTGACCTCTTTGATGATGATCTAGAAGAAAGAAGAATAGAGCAAGAACTTTGGTGTCTAGCTTAAATACTCTCCTTCCAGGCGAATAGGATTTAGGGATTTGTCTCTTTCGGGAAGGTGGGGCGGCAAGGGTGATCCATCGCGCGCTTGGCGATCGCAACGCAATGGTACGTCGATCGAAATGCGTAGCTCCTCCGGGCGCTGGATTGTGGGACGCGATTCGTACCCCAGCGCGAGCTCATCAATCTCGCTGTGGATTAGCCGAGAGCGATTTGTGTGATTGTCTCTTAAGTTTGTCTTTGTTTGTAGCAAAGTGGCAGGCACACGATCGTCTTGTACCAGCCGAGCGCCGCGCGAGGGAGCCGGACGTTTCTGGATTACGAGAGCGTCACGCAAGCCATGGATGGTGAGCTTCTTTCTTTCGCGACGAGAAAAAAAATGTTTTTTTTATCCAATCTTCCTTTTGGTTGCAGGGATTTGCGGCTTGTTCGAGAAGAAGCTCAAGGACATGAACCCCACGATACGAAACATCACGTACGAGGTCGCGGATTTGTATAGATTCATCGATGAGCTTCCGGACATGAGCGCTCTCGTGTAAGTTTCGTTCATCTTGTGGCGCTTTGAGTTCTTCTCGTGATCATCCTTTAGAATAGATGTGATCGTAAGAAACCTTGGTTTCAACTTTCGCGTGGACTCTCTTTCTTTTCAACGATCGGTATGAAGTTTAAGTTTTCGCTGCATGGGTTTGTGCTCCTACTGAGCTAAAGGACTTTCTTCCATGAACTTCTTTGCTTTGCTTAATTTGATTTTCTCTTGCGCGAGCTGGTCTCTCTTTGACAATAGCTCAAGTTTACGTTTTAGCTGCATGAGTTTGGGCTCGCTCCCGAGCCAAAGAACTTTCTTGTGTTCCTGCGATTTCCTTTCTTTAAAAGTGTTCTCTTTTATTGTTCCACCGTGACAATCTCTCCTTGTCCATGCAGATACGATACCGAGGTGAATGCCTACATCCCTTACGATCGGCAATGGATTAAACTGCGCGCCTTCCAACATCTCCGCAAGCTCGCCGGCCAAGCCGCCTAGTAAATCGCTGCTGTGCGAGAGGACGCGCCTGTAAATAACAACATGATGGGGACATGGGCAGCATTTAGCAGCCAGGATTCGCTGTGACAAAACCACGAGCAGAGTATTTAAAACATCGATTCGAGTGAGAGCGAGCGAGGGGAAAGGAGTCTCAAGAAAAAATAAGAGAGAGAAAGCCAAGTGTGTGTGGAGAGAGAGAGAGAGCTTATCAATAATTTGGAGAACTGGCAGGCCAAAAGAGATGTGATGTGAGTTCTTCCTCGAACTCGAGACGTCTCAACGTTTCTTGCGTGGTACATTGTCGGGATCACGCGATTAAATAAAGAGCCATCGCTAGCTCGCGCGCTCGCTCGCTATCTTCACCACCACCAACGCCAACAAGCGGGAGCCAACCGCTCACCTTCCGCCACGTGTCCGCCAGGCTGGCGCAGTGACGTGGCGAATTGACCAGCCCACCGCTGAATTTGGCAAATGGGGCGCTCGCCTGCGGCTTCCTAGATAAAGGTTGGATAAAGGCCAATAATTCACACCTCCACTCACGCACCCTGGGATTCGAACCGTGAGCCTCAAGAAGGGTAAAGAAGAACATGGAGGCCATGACGGGAATAATCTAAAGCTGGTGCCAGCTACCCAGCGAATCGTGCCAAGGGTATATCCTTCCCGCCCCCACTCAAAAGAAAATTTGGCGGGATTTATATCAGTTTGGCAGGGCCGCTAAAATAAGTTCCAATATATCACTACTAGGTAGCGCGCGCACCAATAGGATGCTAGAATGCGTGGATTGGCGGAGGGCCAGTGTCTACCTCTCGTTGCCATGGACAAATAGTCGCCACGTCGGACTCCTAAAATTTCGGGGCTCGAACACGAGTGGATAAATATGAAATTTTACTTTTGGCAATCTGCAACCGTGGCAGAATTAGAGCCGCTAGATCTTTCCCATAATTAGATTTTTACTTTAGCGGTGCCCGATTAAAAACAGCCTTGTTAGAATAATATAAAAAAGTTAATTAACCCGGGAGCCCGCCCCTTTTTTCATAGCTTGGGGTTCTCTTCTTCTTTCCTTGGTATTCCACATTGAGACTATTAGGGGTTCTTCCTCCCAAGCTCGTGGCGATGGCGGCCACGATTCTTAGCGCCTTCCAGGTCGAGATCTTGATCCCGGTGGCGGCGCTCATTGGCATCCTGTTCGCGCTCTTCCAGTGGTACATCGTGTCGAGGGTTTCGGTCGGCGCCGCTACGCGCGTCAGCTCCAACAATGGCTACAACGACTCGCTGCTCAGCCACGAGGAGGACGGGGACGAGGGCGCCGAGGCCAAATGTGCCGAGATTCAGCAGGCCATCTCGGAAGGTGAGTGGGATTCGTTGTCGCAATGTTCTTGGCTCGCCTTCTTGGGATGTAATCTCCAAGAATATCTGGTCTTGCCTCCCAGATCTGTGGTGATCTTCCTGGGATCTATTGTTGTGACTAATTTTCCCTTTTTTTTCTCTCGTAGGCGCCGAATCCTTTTTGTTCACCGAGTATGGCTACCTTGGCGTGTTTGTGGTCATCTTCTCGGCGTTCATCTTCGTCTTCTTGAGCTCGGTGGAAGGATTCAGCACCAAAAAGCTCCCTTGCAAGAGTGACCCCTCGCAGCTATGCGCCTCCGCGGTCGCCAATGCTGGCTTCAGCACCATTGCCTTCATCCTGGGCGCCCTCACCTCCACACTCTCCGGCTACCTGGGGATGAAGATCGCCACCTATGCCAACGCGAGGACCACCCTCGAGGCCAGGAAAGGCGTCAACAAGGCTTTCATCGTGGCATTCCGGTCGGGTTCGGTGATGGGTTTCTTACTCGCCGCTAATGGTTTGCTCGTCCTCTTCATTGCTATCATTCTCTTCAAGCTCTTCTATGGATCCGACTGGGAGGGCCTGTACGAGGCCATTGCCGGGTATGGTCTTGGAGGTTCCTCGGTGGCCCTCTTCGGTCGTGTTGGTGGCGGTATTTATACCAAGGCCGCTGATGTTGGTGCGGACCTGGTAGGAAAGGTGGAGCAGAACATTCCAGAGGACGATCCACGAAATCCTGCCGTAAGTTTTGACTCATTTGGTTTGTGCTCGGACTACTGTATTGATTGTTGCGCGTGTCTGGTTTTCAGGTGATTGCTGACAATGTTGGGGATAACGTGGGTGATATTGCGGGAATGGGAGCTGACCTGTTTGGATCTTTTGCGGAGTCGTCCTGTGCGGCGCTTGTCGTTTCATCCATCTCTTCGTTCGGACTCGACAGGGACTTCGTTGCCATGAGCTTTCCGCTACTTATCAGTTCCTTTGGCATCGTTGTCTGCCTCATTACAACGTTGTTTGCCACTGACATTTTCGAGGTGAAGGGTGTGAAGGACATCGAGCCCTCTCTCAAGAAGCAGCTTATTATATCGACTGTCCTGATGACCGTCGCTATTTTCGTCGTGTGCTACATTGCATTGCCGGCTAAGTTCACCATCAACGTCGTTGGCCATGAACCAAAGATTGTCAAGTGGTGGTACGTATTTGAGATTTTCTTCAGTGTCTTGGACTAAGTTCTTTCACGTTGCAGGCAACTATTCTTCTGTGTTGGTTCTGGACTGTGGGCTGGTCTCATTATTGGTTTCGTCACGGAGTATTTTACTAGCAATGCATACAGGTAACTGATTGATTCTTGTGTACTTGTCTGAATGTAGTTTATTTCAGACCCGTCCAAGACGTTGCCGATTCCTGCAAGACTGGAGCTGCCACGAACATTATTTTTGGCCTGGCTCTGGGTTACAAGTCCGTGATTATTCCCGTTATCGCTATTGCGCTGGCTATCTTCCTCAGCTACACTCTCGCTGCTATGTATGGTATTGCTGTTGCGGCCCTTGGAATGCTGAGTACGATTGCCACTGGACTCGCAATCGATGCCTACGGTCCGATCAGTGACAATGCTGGAGGCATTGCCGAAATGGCAGGATTCCCTCACAGCATTCGTGAGAGAACCGATGCTCTGGATGCTGCAGGAAACACCACAGCTGCCATTGGCAAGGTTCGACAAGAAAAACTCCTCTTTTATTTCTCGCTTTCCTCTTTCTGATGCTGTTTCATTGTCCAGGGATTTGCGATTGGTTCCGCGGCACTCGTCTCGCTTGCTCTCTTCGGTGCTTTCGTGAGCAGAGCTGGAATCGTAGCTGTGGACGTTATTTCTCCAAAGGAGTTTGTTGGACTGCTGTTCGGTGCCATGCTCCCGTACTGGTTCTCGGCGATGACAATGAAGAGCGTTGGAAAGGCAGCACTGGCTATGGTGGAGGAAGTCCGCTCTCAGTTCCGAAACATCCCAGGCCTCATGGAGGGGCGCGCCAAGCCCGACTACAAGTCGTGCGTCAAGATCTCAACCGATGCATCGATCAAGGAGATGATTCCCCCCGGTGCTCTCGTGATGGTCACTCCCCTCGTCGTGGGATGGTTCTTTGGACCCCAGACACTCTCGGGCCTTCTCGCCGGAGCTCTAGTCTCTGGAGTACAGGTACTACGCAACTTTTTCTTTGGTAGTTTCCTTCTCTTTGTCTTACCTGCTTGGACGTTACCAGATCGCCATTTCGGCCTCCAACACCGGTGGAGCATGGGACAATGCGAAGAAGTACATTGAAGTAAGATAGCTGTTTGTATGGTACGTAGACTAGCCCTGAGCTTTGTATTTGTTTTGTTCCAGGCTGGAGCTTCTGAGCACGCAAAGCAACTCGGCCCGAAGGGCTCCGATGCTCATAAGGCTGCTGTGATTGGAGATACCGTTGGCGATCCCCTCAAGGATACCTCGGGGCCATCGCTAAACATCTTGATCAAGCTCATGGCCGTGGAGTCCCTGGTGTTTGCTCCATTCTTCGCCAGGCACGGTGGCTTCGTGTTCAAGTGGCTTGGATTGTGAGAAGGACGAAAGGCACGAAAGCTAGCATCATCTTCTCTATACTGAAAAGCCAACATTTTGCAGGGTACTAGGATATCTACGAAAAAAGACCAAAAGACTACTACTATTGTTATGTTTAATAACTTATTCTTCACTTTATTTCTTTTCTATTTGTAGTTTTAAGATCAAATCAAATTACGTATCGGTTTTATTGTAAACTCTTTGGTTTTGTGTAAACTACAAACTTGATAACACAAACAATACAAAGAGAAACAATCAGAGGATAGGATCAAAATAATTCCTTCCTGGACTCGTCAAGTCCATCTTCGCTATCGAACAAACCAAGCAAGCCACGCTCAAAATGAGCTCACCGATGGAAAGCCTGCCAGTCCAGCCCCGAGCGGCAATCCCACCGCCAAAGTAGAGTGGAAGAGGATCTTCACAACTCTGCCCCTGCTGAGAAGCTTGATGAAGAACTCGGTGAAGAAGTGTGTGCAAGCATGGACGAGGCACGAGAGCAGCCACACCACCATCCAGTTCCATCCCTGTCCGCCCAAGAGGTAGACGATCTCTTTCCCGACCACGCCGACACACGAGCCCCCAACCATGAAGATGGTCATCGGCATTGCGCGCTTCGTGGAGCTGAGCGTCTTCTTGCAGATGAAGAGCAGCAGCAGGCACAGCAGCACTCCAAGGATCGCTCCAGCGCTGCCTCTGGCGATGCAAAGCCAGTAGTTTGTGTTACCCGTGATAGATCCCACGAAGTTATACCATGCCTGGAAAACGAAAAACGAATGTTCAAGCGAAAGACGAGAGGAAAACAAAAGCTCACGAACCTGTTTAGTAGCAGGAGTCGCAGAACACGAGTCTCTCAGCGTCGAGAACCACTCTGGAAGGTTTCTCCACACGCAGAAAGCCGTGAACGCGAACATGATGAGCAAGCCCGCGAGGAAGTAGTCGGACGTGGAGCTCCGAAAGTCGGCACAGGCGGCGGCCATTTCGTCTCGTCCAGCCTTGGAGACGTTGAACTTGAGTGTGCTCTTGTTCACGTCCAGCGTCTCCTTGCCGATGTCGATCGATGCTTCTTGCATGTCCAGCTCTCGCTCCTTGAGCTTCAAGCCCCTCATCGCGCAGACGAGCTCCATCTCCTTGAGAGAGTTGCTTCGCCGTTGCTCCATCAGCGTCTCTTGAAAGATGGCGACGCTGCTACCAGTGGTAAACGCCACAAGCTCTTCCGTTCCCCGGGAGTCTTCCTCTTCCTCCACGAAGTACTCCATTTCCTCCACTTCATGGTACTGCTCTTGGGATTTCCCTTCCACGAATCCATCCTCCTCCACGATCGACTCTTTCTCCGGATCCGTGATCTCCGGTCTTGGAGCCCCTGATTGCTGGGAAACTCTTGTGAAGTCCCGTCTTGATCGCTGGAAATCTTTCGAGCACCGACATTTGCCACCGTCCTTCGCTGTTACCTGAGAGCTCGATCTTTCTCTTTCCCGCTCTCTCTCACGAAAGATCCTGCCGCCGCTTCTCCGATCGCCGAGATCTTCCACACTGGAGCTCCGATCCCCGCGTTTCTCCTTCAAATCCGAGTAGCTTGTCGAGAAAGACTCGACCAGATCTTCTACTATGGACTCGGTCGTCTCCAGGGAGCTCACTTGGCACAGATGCCCTCGCGCTAAAACTCCCAGCAGCTCTGCCAGGAATTCCACCCCATCGTTGGCGCGGGACTGGAGAAAGAGAGAAAACGATCACAACCTGGAAGCAATACAATACCATTGTCTTACCACCGTGACCAGCCCTGCCATAGTCTTGCCCAGCGCGTCAATGACAGCGTTCTCGTCTGGATCGTCGCTCTCCACCGCCATCGCTCGCTACTCCGCTAGAACCCTAAATCTCAAAATAAAAGGAAAATATACGTTAGTACTTCTACTTAGCACCTAATGGAGGTTTAAAGATGGCAGCCAATTAATCGATCAAAGCGTTCAAAGCGAAAACGCTGCTGCCATTTCGTGACAAGAATTCAGTCCTCTCGTTTGTGCCGCATCGTCCACACAAAGTTCCGCCTCTCACAATCCTCAAACATGTTGATCCGCCACGGAACTTGCGCGATGATCTTGTCACGCACCACCGCGAAGCTCACCTGATCGCGCGGCGTGAACCTGTCCAGCTCGTTGAACCAGAGGCACGAGAAGAGATTGGTGAGCGGCGTGTGCTCCCTCAGCACCACGCAGCTCTCGGGGACGTCGCTCACCAGCGGCATCCTGGCGGCGCGATCATACGGAAGGAGCCCCTCGTGCGTACGGTAGAAGTCCATCTGGGCGTCGAGCTTGGCCTTGCTGTGGTACCTCCGCTCCCGGATGATGGCCTCGGCCTCCTGGAACGCGTCCGCGCGCTCGAAATGGTTGGAGATGGCCATGGTGTCGTTGCTCCTCCACAGGAATCTCTCGAGGATCTGGATGGGATCCACCACCATCTGGAGCTTGGCGTCGATCCAGATGGAGAAGCGCGCGTTTGGGACAAGCCTGTGCAGTAGCATCTTTGGAATCTTGCCCTTGTATCGGTTGTCTCCCTCATATGCGTTGCTTCGTACGAGGATGGTCCTCCACGCCCCGGCTTGAGCTCCTTCGATCCGGAAAGATTCCAGCGTCTCGACGTCGACGAACATCGCGAATCAAACCGTCCTGGCGCTGGTGCTGCTCAGCTTTTTGGGCGGCTTGAGCACGTCATAGTTGCCAAAGATCGCGGACGCCACCACGATTCCCCTGCATTCTCGGAGGTAATCCATGTCTGCCTCGTCCTGGATCTCGAATCCGGAGCCCTCTCTCCCTGGCTCCACTCCGGCCCTGGTGAATCCACACGGAACTTCCATCGACTCTTGGATCTTGAAGGATCTCTCTCGCTCTTCAAGGCTGAAACTTCCGCCAAATGGTGTGGAGTTTCGTGAGTCTGCACGGTGGAGATAAGCAAGCTTCGAGAGAATAAGTTCTGGGAAGATCCCTTTCGGGGGCAGTGCTTTCAGTGCTTGGTCTACTGGAAGGTAGCAGACCTGACACTTCCCAAACCAACAGGGACTTTGGAATCTGAGGCAGGGATGGCCCTGGGGAAGCGGTGGATCCTTGAAACTCGTGGGCGGGAGTAATCGAATAACTGGATGACTGCTAGAAAAGGCTATCATGCGTTTTATGACATCTCCATCGTTTATCAAACTCCATGACACCCACAATACAACCATCAAATTACAAGTAACAAGAACAATAAAAGGTTTCCCCATTACTTTACCTATTTTCCAAATCATGTATTAAAGGTTGCACAATGAAGATTTTCCAGCTTACAAGTGGCACACATAGAATAGCTTGCCATATGAAACATGTTTATAATAATTTGCTAGGCATTGTTGCACGCAATGGTTTTATGGACTGCAATTTGTAAGTAAAAGACGCATACCGCTGCCTTCCAAATAGAATATTCTTAATGCTTTTCCAAAATCTACTAGGGATAATCTTTATCCCGGGCATGATGCCATGCATCCCATGGGAGAATGGGCCATCTCGTGGGTTTAATAGACCCATCCCATGGGGCATAAAACCATCCACCAAAGCTGTAACTTCGATTTTAACTTGGATTTTGAGTGGGTTGTGTTATATAGTAGTGACTCAGCTCTTTGGAAGGGTGGTTTGCATGGGATTAGAGTATTTGTTGGCATAACTGCAAACTACTGTCCATGGCATAGTCAATAACGGGAGCAGAAGACCTATTGCTACTACGCAGCAAGCAAAGGCTCATATCATATGAGTTCTCACATTCCCACCCATAAAAAGGCTGAGGCAAAGAGCTAGTAGTTGGGACAATGTTGGGAACTTCAGATGTGATGTTGAAGTAATTACTCTTCCTACTAATGTTGATGTTATAGTGATGCATATCAATACAATGCAAACTCATCAAGTTCATGAAATTAGACTGTAGTAACCATGTCTCTTTCTTCTTCTCCTTGCTGCAATAGTAACCACAGATGAGATAGTTTCTGATCCCCCAACTGCTTGATCCTCTATAGCTCTAGGTTGACAGACTTATTTGGGATGATCTCTAAATTGGTTGTGGTTTCAGCCACTATGCTGAATTTGCCTGGCATGAGCTACTGCTGTGTGGTCTTCTTCTCAGATTGAGCACACTCTTGGTCTTGCTGTTCTCAGCTCCCATTGTCAGGAATTGGAGTTCCAACATTTGGATCTGCTTCTCTAGCTCACTTAAATGCGTGAGGATGCAAGTACACCCAGAGCACTGCCATCGCCAGGCCGAATTGTCATTGTAAGATGAAGAGTGGAAGAGGCCACCTTCCTTCCCATAATCTCATATCAAATTTCTGCTACACAACTACTTCAGGGCTCAAATGCAATCTCTCACAGCATGCTCATGAATACTCTCACAAAAACCATATAGTTTGAAAAAAATAAAACTAGGTGAATACATGTAGTTTACATATATGTGTGATTTTCTCAAAGCATAGCTATGAAACTAGTTATAAATATATTTAATATATGATTTTAAAAATCATTCTAGTACTGTGACTAATATATGATTCTCTCAATAATTATTCTAAAAATGAAATATAATATTTTTTAATATAGATAATATTGTGGTGAGAATAATGCTTAAGAATTATATGTTATCTATATTGAAAAATATATTTTATTCTAGTTTTATTCTAGTTTCTAGTTTGTATTACATATAATAAGGATTAGAATAAAATAGAATGTTCAATATAGATATTGTTGTGCTGTATTATTTGTAATACAAACTGGAAGACAATATAGATTTTAATGTATGGCAAATGGTTCTTTCAAGATTAATCTAACATTAAAACATAATAGTTTCAATATAGATAATGTTATAGTGTAATAAATGTATTACAGAACTAGGGGTTTTACTAATACTCATATATTTAAACAAAAGAGCCGGAGTTCTTAGGAACTTGTCAGCAAGCTCGCAATGGTGACTAAGTAAAGGGTAAGGCATGAGTGATTAGGCATTTTTTTATTTTATTTTTGTATATGCTTCAAAGTTGAATATAATATCATTTTTAATGTGGATGATATTTAGTTCTCTCAATCAGTATTATAAAATTAAAACACAATATACTTTTTGATGTAGATGAGATATAATTCTCTTAAGAACTATTAAATCATGAAATAAAATAAAATATATAATTTTTTGTCTGGCCTTGATATAGTAGATAGCAACTAGCACATTTTAAAATTTTACACAGAAAATAATTATGAAATTGAACAGAAAAATGAATTTAACACAAAAATATCATCTATATATATATCTCTCTCTGTGTCTCTGTGTATATATATATATATATATATACACACACACACACACAGATATATATATATATATATATATTTATATGTATGTATTTCATAGACTATTTATCATTAATATATCTAACATTATCAAAATTTAAGTTTCTTTATATTAAATTCATTACTTTATAAAAGACATACAAGCAACACTTTGTAAAATTTTCAATGGTTTTTTTAAGGTATTTGTTTGCTAGGCAATGTATCTTTAGCATGTATACAATAGCTTTCCCAGGCTTCTAGTGCTATGGTTCCTATGGCCTAGCACTACTAAGGCCATGGATCTAGACAGCCTTGAGCACCATCCTTGCCATGGCTGGGTTGAGCAAGCTCTAGTGGATGTGGAGGTTCAAGTGCTGTGGCAAGCTGCTATGGTTGGGCCTTTAGCACCCATGGCTGCATGCTCAATCACCCCATGGGCAGGCTAACCCATGCATTGCAAAATCAAGAATATTCACCCAAGAGAGTGGCTTTGGCTTAGCAAAGCTTTTTGATTTTACTTTTTCACAAGTTAACCTCTTTTTCTTTTCTCTGTCCTTTAGGTTTGCACTCCAGCTTATGCCCATGTTTTCTTCTCTTCTAAAGGCTTCATTTTTTTTTCTCTTACAAAGAGTAAACATGCTACAAAGTTAAGAGGTGGTAGAGTTACAAGACCACCAATATTTCCTTCCTGGCCACCAATCCTGCCCCCTTCTCTAACACTAGTAGCATCATGATTGAGAGGAGACAACAAAGATGGCAAAGCTAGTAATGAGGAGCTTTATATATGGTGCTCACTCTATTGCAGTTTACAAGATATCCCATGCTGCTTTTGGTGCAATAGCCTATTTCTTAGAAATTAAATTTATTATTTAATTTTATTCCCAACAATATAGCTTCCAACCATTTAAAATTGATGCTATAGTTTCAAGCTATAATAAAAATTATTTCTTCTTATTTAATCGTTTTGATGCTACTGTACAATAAAAACAATGTCACTTTTTATTACAGTGATAAGAAAAGGTGGATCCAACTTCAAGTCATAAGATACTTTGTTATGTCATTTCATACCATAGAGAAACCTTTGATTAGTCTTCCTTTTGTAAGGTTTATTTTAGTGTGGAGGGGAACTTTACAAACACTAAAGCACATAAAAACCATTGCTACCTAGGGACTTGAGCCTTTTCACATTCTAATGTTATTTGTTACCATAGCCATCCAAAAGTTTGTCCTCCTTGGCACCAACCTCTTTGGCAGTGTCATCATTGCTCTTCATCATACCACCACTTGCTTTTTGCTTTCCATTAAACCCTCTTTTGTATTTTTTTTTTCACAATTGATACAAGGGTTTTCACCCCTCACAATGGATAACTGCCATAAAGGTCATATATTATTAATCCCCCACTAATTAATTACACTTAGTCTAAAACAAAAGAGAAACCCATGACCTTGACAGTAGGCTAGTACAATAATGAATAAGTGTTTGCTTTGACCCAACACTATGGTCCTAAATCTTTCAACTATTGATTATATACCATAAAGCCTGTTGACAACACCCTCATTGATCCTTGAGCAAAGAATTCAAGCAAAGAATGTGGAGCTAAAAGAAAGAAGTCCTCACAACACTTCAATGCTTGACAAAGCTCTATATTTCTTTGTAGCATTAGCAATAACACTATAATGTGTGGTAGATAGCTTCTCACCTACTTCCTTCTCTATGGGCAACCTCTTAAGTTGTTTCAAATCTCATGAATCTCATCAACTTGATTGATTAATTTGTCATCAAACCATCCAAATAAGAAAGCTCTTGAACTGCTGATTTCTTTGTAGCCCTTAAATCCATATCTAACCCAAGTGCTTTTATTTTTTTCTCGTATTTGTTAACCTGATCTGATGACTTAAATGCCAACATTTTTTAGTTTGATATTTTCTTAATGAAAATATTTAAAATTCCCAAATAAATGAAAATTTCTTATATTAAAAAGAAAATACTATGAACAGTATTATGAGAATTCTATCAAAACTCTTATCACATTTTTCTCCTTGTGAATGGCCTTTTCTTTTAAAATTTCTTAATTTTATTTATATTTATAAGTGATTAAAATTATTTTTAGATTCTAAAATAAGATTATTTGATAAGCATGATTGACATATCTGTGTTTGTTGAAACTCTATTTCATTGCATATGCTTTCACATATGCTATCTTTAGCTAGTCTGAAATTTAGCATTTATAAATGAAAATAAAGAAATTTTTTAGTTTTTAATTACCTTAAATCAACTTCAAATGCTAAAATTGCATTAGTTTCCATGTAATATTTAGCA